CGCATGATGCCCGAGACACACCTACGCGGCCCGCCCGCCTGCGTCGTGCTACTCGGTCGCATGATGCCCGAGACACACCTGCGTGGCCCGCCTGCCTGCGTCGTGCTACTCGGCCGCATGATGCCCGAGACCACACCTGCGCGGCCTGCCCGCCTGCGTCGTGCTCCTCGGCTTCATGCTCTTGAGACACACCTGCGCGGTCAGCCCGCCTGCGTCATGTTCCTCGGCTTCATGCCCCCGAGACACACCTGTGCGGCCAGCCCGCCTACGTCGTGTTCCTTGGCTTCATGCCCCCGAGACACACCTGTGCGGCCAGCCCGCTTGCGTCGTGTTCCTCGGCTTCATGCCCCCGAGACCACACCTGCGCGGCCTGCCGGCCTACATTGTGTTCCTTGGCTACTCGGCTATTCAGCTCTCGGCTCCTCGGCTTCATGCCTCCGAGACACACCTGTGCGGCCAGTCCCCCTACGTCGTGCTCCTCGGCTCACGCCCCCGGCTCATGCCCCCAACGCTATGCTACCCGAGACACGCCTGCACGACCAGTCTGCCTACGTCGTTCTCCTCGGCTCCATGCTCCCCCAGACCGTGCCCTCGCAGCCAGCCCGCCTGAAAGCTGAAGCCATGCCTCGGACTCCCGTTACAATGTCTGACGCATAGCTTCTTTCCGATGGGGAATATGATGAGGATAGTAATTATGATAAGACCCGACTGACGTCAGATGACATCTCACGCCTCGGACGACGCGACGACACCTGGTCAAACGGACCGGAACACAGGCTGAGGCGCATTAACACATACTCAGGCTCGGTTCTTCACGTCATGTCAAACCAATGTCAGACGCAACCAGCCTGCCCCCTGCAAGCGGGCACATCAGGAAACAGTAAACCTCCATATAAATACTCTCGCACTCTGAACAAGCGAGAAGAAGGACGAAGGAAATAACACACCAGAGAGACACCTTAAACTCTTCTTCTTCCAAACCCCCCTCCACTATTTACTGACTCAATCGTCGGAGGGGTCGGGTTGAGCCTCTCGACCCGACCTGTGTGCATGAAAGAAGACGGGGTGCGTCCCCAGTCGAGGAGGCCCCTCTAGCGGAGACGGCTGACCCCGTCCCGAATCGGATCGCCGTAATCGACCACCTCGGCGGACTCGAAACCCGTCACGGGAATATCCCCCTGAATCCGAACCGAGCCGCGTCGGCCCCGAGGCCACGACTCCATATTGTTTACCACAACAGGTATAAAGAATAACTCATGCTCTTAACTATATCTATAAAAATATAATTTTATTTTTTAGCACTCTCATTTTGTCCTGCTAAGACATATTGAATATCTTGCTTTTCTAGAAATCTAATAAAAAGTTAAAATTATGATTGAGTTCATCGTATCTACTATAAAATTTATCATCAATATCATATTTTTATTTAATTATATATCATTTTTATTTATGTACACCTAAAGTATTAATAGTAATTATATATACATAGTCATATCTCAACTATTATATATAAAGGTGATAAAATGTCTCTTTCCACTAAAATAGAAAATATAAAAGGAATTCATGAAACTAGTTGTAAACTTAATATTCATATTAATTTTATACAAACTATTATATAAAATTTCACAACCAATTGAATCATAAATATATTGAGTTTACCATTATAAAAAAATTTAATATCCTATGAATTCTAGATAAAAAAAATTAAATTTCTAGAATTTTAGATCATTTGTATCCATAAGTTTCATTAGATATACTATCTTTAAACATAACCGATAAGTATCCACTATTATAATTTTTGCTTTAAGATAATTTCTTATAATTGGAATCCTTTTATACCTTTTTTGTTTTCAAGTTAAAATGATTATCTACGTATTATTGAAAATATAAGTTGAAGCATCAAAATAATTTTTATAATATTTGATTCGAATCATACAAAAGTCAATTTATACTTTTCTATTTCCAACCAAATCTTATAATCTTTTTCACATACTTTTCTTGCGACATAAATAATATTTTAATATAAATATTTTTTTATTATAAATTTATATAATACTTATAAATTCAGTTAATTAATTTAATAAATTATGCATAGCAAAAGTCGACGATATATATTTCTTCCTCCGTAGTTTATGCTGGCTTTGTTCAAAATGGGAACAATTTACCGCTTCCATAATAAATCCAACAGTAAATCTCAGAAATGTTGGACTGTTGTGTGCGCTCGTGCGTGCGACGCTTTTGTCTTGGGGTGGATCATCGTGACAATTACTTTGCAGACAAGAATCGATTAGCTTAACACAGTTCGAAGCTCTCGGTTATCGATACAAGTTACGGGCAGATCGTTTGACTTCAGTTGTCAGCAGGAAAGAGCATGAACCTTCCACAAACTCATATGCGACATCACATTCCTCCTCTGAAATAAAAATACAAGTAAAGCACTCAAAAGAAAATGGAGCTTTGGTGTTCGACGAAAGGGTCATCTCAGTTCTACGAATTATACACAAACAACCCTGTGATGGCATAAGGTAGTAGACGCTGTACCTATCTATCTCCCCTCCTGGCGTTCATTCTTCGCTCTGTCATTAATGCTATGGTCTGCACTATGGTTTCCAAGATGCAGGGGGTGGCGGAGGAGTAGGAAACATTGGAGGGACGGCAGAAAAGATGGTGTTCTTATCGACGCCGGTCTTCACTCCAGACAAGGAAATCAGAGCTGCGACGAGGCCAGCATTCCCTGCCAGCGTCGGCTCCGTGTAATTATAATTCACTCGAACATCTCGGAATCCATCGTGCCTGTCGGGACCAGCTACCATAGCCCCAACAATGGTGTTCGGATTGGGCCTCGTGCTGTCCCTCCACTTGTATCCTCCCTTGCAGCCATACCTCGCCCCGTTCTTAGGAATCGATGCGCCTCGGTGATGAACATGCTTAGGGTAACGTTTGCCGTATCCAACGATGTAGCTCATCTTCCGAGGATTGTTTCCCAGAATGTAATCGATCTGCCAACGTCGAGAAAGAGTTGTAGCGTAAACACACAGCCATGAAAACAGAGAAATAAATCAAAGCCTGCACACCTGAGTCTTGGCAAAACCGCGTAGGGTATCTGTGGAGTAGAAATTAGGCCCACAATACCATCCTGGGGTATCTGCAGCTTCGAGGTAATCGCTGAACAGGGAGGAAAGGAAAGCCGCATTGACAGCGTATTGGAGGGGTTGAGGTCTTCCGTGATTAAGCTGAATCAGACCACCTGTGTGCATGGTATTTTAGCTTCTCAGCCTCAACTCTCGAGTCATAGGAATAAATAATAAGAGGAGTGAAGGATGCAATCGAACCTTTGGTTCGATTGAATGAGGTGAAGTAAGGCAGGTATGAGCACATGATATTGCCCGTCTGGTTGTGGAATGTCCTCAGTATTTCTTCGTATGGATAGCCTGGACTCAAGAACAGTCTCAACCTGCTGAGAAGAACCTGAAGAATTACCACAAAAACAAAGTCGATATCAGATGCTTAATCGACGATGATCACATCGATCTCTGTAGCTCGTAGCAGGAGAGATGCAGTAAGTAGCATGAATTGTGTATGCTAACATACCTGAGCACCGGTCAGCTTGTTGTCCCAGCTGAAAACTCCGTAATCTGGGCCACCCCAGAAGGCACCTGCATGCTTGGCTAATCCCGGAGCAGTAGCAAGTTGAAGGTAGGAGGAATTGCCGGTAGCAAAATACAACCATGCTCCACCCCACACGAACTCATCCCAGTAGCTGGTGGAGTTGTAGAAGAGTGAGGGATCGGAGCCGCCTGGGCTGTATCTCCCTCTTTGCTCCCTTCCGTACTTGAACAGGGTCCTCGCACCGTGCACAAGCTTCTCGGAGTAGGTCTTGCTGTCCTTGAACACGATCGAAGCTGCGGCCAAGGCGGCTGCCATTTCTCCGGCCAGATCAGAGCAACTGTGGCATTCATACACCGGCCGAGGGTAATCGATGTCTTCGGGTCTCACCCAGCAGTAATGGTCATTAGGATTTGGTCCCTTCGACGTGTCCCCTTGACCAACCTGCGAGTTAGATGTCATTCCAAAGCCAATCTAAAACAGAGGAAAACTGTAGGAAAGTTATCAGATTTTTATTCTGCGGAGAGATCAAAAGCCGACTGGGAAGGAATTCAGATCCTGATGCCTACTTCTGCAGTCACGGACACTGAGATCAGAAGATGGGAGGCATACCTGAGCGACGATGCGGTCGATGATGTCGGCAGAGGAATTAAAGGTCTTGAGGAGGTAGTCGGTGCCCCACTTGATGATTCCTTTAACGTGATCCAGCTCTCCGGCGGCCTCGTATTTGTCGCTGTACTCGATCACGCTCCAGCTGAGCATCGTCATGGCGAAGGACATGGGGAAGTTGAACTTGATGGCGTCCCCGGCGTCGTAGTATCCTCCCACCAGACTCCTTCGGATCGCGTCGTCCGAGAGGCCATCCTTCATGCCGGAGTTCCCCCTCCAGCTCACGTTGTTATGCTTGGGCAGAGGCCCAGCTGAGGAAATCAGAGACACCAGATCAGAAGGCGAAGCAGAATGCAAAGATCTGCTTGTTTGTCAGAAATTTCAATGCGACTACTGATGGTCTGCTCTAATCAGATCTGGTGCTCCGTTTCCTGTTCACCAACACAAAAACTGGAAGCATCGAAGAAGGACAGACTCGTCACAAGTAACGAGTTCGACAGTAGGATCGATGGAAGGAATTGGGATGAGGAGGTCGGCAGACCGAAATCGAAGCGGACATAATACGTGTTCTAAGTGTCATGTTCATGAGCAAGACAGCCATTACCTGACTACGTTATTATTATACGGGAGAGACAGTTGCTGCTACTTACAGCGCTGGGCGTTGAAGAACATGAGGGCCTTGTGGAGCGCCAGGGTGTACTCGTCGGGAGGCGGCGGCGGGCGGTGGCGGTGTGGCACCGTCTTGACGATGAGCATGATGAGGCCGATGAGGAGGCCGACGCCGAGCACCGAGCCCAGGGTCCAGAGAAAGAGCTTGCGGCTGACGACGATGCACCCGAGGTCGACGTAGCGCTTCTTCTTCTTGCCGGACGGGTCACCGGGTGCCGCCAGGAGCCAGCTCTGCTGCGTCTCGTCCAGCTGCCGCGACAGCGCCGCCCGGTCGTACTCCTGCAGGTTCCGGCTCCGGTCGTCGTCCGTCGCCGAGTCCGCATTCGATATCTCCAGCGGACCGCCCCATGGATCCCTCCCGAACATCTTCCTCTTCCTTGATCAACAACAGAATTCTCTCTCTCTCTCTCGGTGTCTCTGTTCTTATATGACTAGGAGAAGGAGGAGTAACTGGGGAGGGGAAAGAGAGGGAGCATATGGAGGAGAAAGGATAGTTACGTGGCGCTTAGCGGTGGTTGGAAGGTTGCTTTCTTCAACTTTGAGAGCTCACCACACCCCTCACCAACATGTCGGTAGGGGGAGTAGATCAAAATTTGAAGGTGAAGAAGAGGTGGGAGGGAGTTTTCACTCTGCTCCGCCTGCAGCTGTGACTGCAGCTCGCTCACTCGAGCATTGCTTCAACCAAAAGTGAGATACCCAAATGAACAAACAAAAAGAAAGAGAGCAGCAAGAAATAACCCAATGTCGAAAGCGTAGATATGCTTTCTTGTTCCATACTATGTGGTTGACCAACCGCTGATAGATTGCATGTACTGAAGAGAGGGGCATACTGGATGTAGCAGCATAGTGACATTTCCGGATCTACTTTTTGTTGACGAGAGAGAGAGAGAGAGAGAGAGATCAAATTTACAGGATCTTCTGTAAATCTTGGGGAGCTCAATTATTGGTATGATAATGTAATGGATGGGGGCAAAATAAAATACGAGGGAATAGGGGAGCTGTGTCGGTCGACCGGTGTCGGCCGACTGCTGTCGGTGGAATCCAATGGGTCTCCTCCCGTATCATAGCGCGTCGCGTGGATGCCTCCATGCTCACCTACCGCCGACCTGATTGCAAGATGGTTCTCTGGAGAGAAAAGAACAGATTGAGTGCACCTCCACCGACCTCCTCTCTTCCACCGATTAGTACTACCTGTAAGAAAGAAACAGCAGAAGCAGGTGACAGCATCAATGGCGAGGCTTACAACAGAAATCAGTAATCAATGACTCCGCTAACTTGCGATGATCATTAACGAGACAAAAGGAAAAAGGTAATAAGAGACCTGATTCATTGCGTAGAGCTTCCTTTTAATCCAGTCGAGAAGGATCATATGGTTCTCAACTCCGATCACTCAGGTGGAATGCGAACGGTATAATCTTATCATGATGCCTTGACTTACCCTCTCAGGTGGAATGCGAACGGTATAATCTTATCATGATGCCTTGACTTACCCTTTTTGTAAACATACTTCTATTTGACTATTATGCTGGAATTCAAGGCATCATGATAAGATTATACCGTTCGCATTCCACCTGAGTGATCGGAGTTGAGAACCATATGATCCTTCTCGAGGCTCCATATCTTACTATGACCACCCGAGGCTCCATCAAGATGAAGCACTCAGAGACACAATGACATGCCAAAATCAATCATCTTGATGGAGCCTCGGGTGGTCCACACTGTTTGGCATGGTTGTGGGTTGCAGATCTTGTGCCTATGTAGACTTGAATACTATTCAGCCGAAATTTATGAGGAAAAGCATTGATCGCTTGCATCTATATATATTCAGCTTCACTTGTAGAGCGAGCAGTGGACACCTAAACCAAAACAAAAACAAGGTGGAAAGGAAGAAATAATCAGTATTGACCATAAAATTTCATAAGGTATGGTGATGACTACCTCAATTCTCCTGGTCATGCAGACCGAGTTCACAAGCGACATCACCAACACTCTGCAATAGGCTACAGAATAATGTGGGAATACACAATGAGTTATAATGACTGAATACTATAATGTTTGTCTGCTGCAGCTACTAACTTACAGAATAACATGGTAATGAAGATTGAGTTGGAAAATGTGAAGATGAATTGTTTTGATTGAGATTTATGCTCAGCAGTAAATAAATTACTATTAGAGCATTCGACTAGTTAAACAAAATCTTTTTGCTTGCATTTTGCAGCAAAAGCCAAATTGAGCAAAAATTTGCAATTGGGCACAGATCGCCCACCAGAATTTGTGGGACACAGCACAGGAATTCTCATGGCAGCTTTCGCTTTGCTTCCTCCACCATGCTCCAAGCTTCTTCCAAAACCATCAGACTTGGGATGAACGACGTTTCCAGTTGCTAAATTGACTCCATGTTTCATTAGCCACTTTCTTGATTTTCCTGTAACTACCTCACCCGAGAAAAAAATCTTAAAACTTCATCCGACTATCGTTTCCGCTTTTTTAGCAACCCTTTTTCTGTTAATGTCTTAAGCTTCTGCTTTTTTCTGGCTTGTGCTTTCTCTTCAAACCCATCATCTATCATCTTCATAATTGCCACTCGTCTAGCCTTGTAGACCTGCAATTGGTAACAAATTCAACTTAGCACGAATCAGCTTGAGTTAAATAATTTACATATCATACAAGAAATTCAAACATCAAAATGATACTTGGAGACAACTAAGTAGATGAAGGTTAGTTTGTCAAATGGCTTATTTTTAGACACGCAAAATATATACATGTACATATTTGCTTGTGTGCACATAAAAACACACAGATAAGATGGAGAAAACATAACATCATGAAATCAGCGTCTGCGACTAGCTGCTGATAGATGCCGATCTGCCACCCATTACCAGCTCTACATGTAATGATAAACAAGTGGGAGCCAGTTGATTGTAAGAGAGAGGGGCAGCAACTGGGTTTCGGAACAGAAATAACATGAACGGTAAAATCATTGAGAATAATTAGAGAGGAGAAAAGGCATGTGAGTGCACTCTGGATTCCTCTATTTGGTTTGACCAGAGCAACTTTTAAGTGATCTAACACCTTGGCTAACTATATTCTCTACTTCTCTCAGTTCTCATTACTACCAAAACTAAAAAGGAACAACAGAACAATTTAACCAAGTCAAGACAAGTTGTCCACATTGCAATACTCATTTGCCCACCAATTGCATGTCTTCTAAATTTATTCAGAATTTGAGTCCTCTCTTAGTTGAATGCACATATCGGCAAATGCCAGCTAATATGATGCCCATAAGAGAAACTGCAAACGGAGCCTGCCAGGAAAGGTACAAATGCTTTTACTAGTCAGAACCAAAGAAACCAGATCTGTTGAGGCCCAAGTGTAACAATCATATACCTCAAAATGTAACATCAAAAGGTGTACAATTAGGCATGGAACTACAGTTTCTAATTCTTTTTAAAATGGGAAGAAAAGGATGGACTATATAAGGAACCAAGATTTAACAACATGAAACGTATAGCTCCATCATAAAAGCCAACTTAGTCCTAATTCACTCAGTGAAAATGTAGCAGCACAAAATTAGATTTCCTTCCCAGATAGAACTGAGCTCTGGTCAGCTGCTGATATTCTAGAGTTCTGATAGCAAAGATTGAAAAAGCCTAACATCTGAGTGGCATGGTGTGAATTTGCTCAAATGTGGACCCAGCTTGGGTAAAATTCTAACTAAAACCAATGCAGCTTAAATCAGGTTGGCTCTAGTTGGGAAATTAAGGATCACCCAAAATGTATGAAGGTGCATATTTTTCCTGTGCTGGTCCGAAACTTATAATTCAGTAGATTTCCAAGTCCCAATCGCCACCCAAAAAACTACAGTCAAAAATATTAAATCAAATTCTACATACGTATGAAGTACAGTAGACCAAGAAAAATACACCAAAACAATGTCTGCATGGAGCTAATTATAGAAAGGTTAAATTGAATTCTTGAACCAGTAAAAGCAGTTAATTAGCTCTGGTCAAGTTATGCAGTCTCAATAATATACAAAACACTTGAAATTACTTACCATAGTATATCACAGTTCAACAATACACATAGGCCAAGGCATGTTTATGAAGCCTGCAAGCTTCTAAAGCATTCTTTTCTTTTTTTGTCCATTCTATTAGGCTATCCAAGGTTCCAAAATAGCAAGATCCATGAACAACCGATAGTAATACATGTCATACCCATCCTAGTCTAATTTTCAGCTGAAAAACAACCTGAGAGTCTATGCTACGTAGCAATCAAGGTAGAACAATAACTTATACCTTGGCAGAGATACCAAAGATATGGAACCAAATGACAAATGCATGACATTATTCTGTTAAACTCAGCAGGTAGCTAATGTTAAACTAACGCACAAATTAAGAATCATACCTTAGTAATATCTTCAAGAACTGTCTTCTCTTCACATTCATACTCTGTTAACTGTTTTCCAATAATAGCCTCTATCTCATGAATAAGATCCACATCATTCTGCACACAGTCATCAATATATGACTCTATATAAGATTAAAAAGAACAAAAATATAATATATTCACAATATGAACTATGGGACAATCGGGCACTATTCAAAAATACAGTTGATGACATAGGATGCGGGTCAGTTGGGTCTCAACCAATTTCCAAACAGTCTATATATGATAGGGACTAATGCATCTTGGTTACGTCAGGATAGATGACCAACTTGAGTTTGCTATTCTTCAGGGACTTTTATGGTTAGCAGTTTAAGAGTCTTAACAGAAGAGTGTAGCTATCATAGTAACCAACAAAATATTGACTTCGGTTAAGAACAAGTCTCTAGAATCATATTATCAAGAAGAAAACAGGTGTTTAAGTATATATCTGGTCCAGAAACCTATGTTGTAGTTATGAAAATTAGTTTGTTGAAAAAAATGTGGATATACATCTCTCTTATTGAGCTTCTTCGGTTCTTGCTCTCTCATTTTTATTGATTCTGTTATCCTTTCACAGTTTGTTTCTAAATTAGTTGTCCTGTGTATTAGCCATTACTAACAACTACAATGATTTCTTATTCTTTCCCGGTCACAGTAGCCATATGTCTAATGATTCAGTATGCATATCTTGGATGCCAATTAGGATCTGGGTATTCTAGGTACTAAGAGTGCATGCATGCTAGATTGTACAGGCTATAGGGTACAATGATTATAACTCAATTTTGAAGTCAAGATAGCTACCACTTACATAGTCCACTAATCTTTGAACAGACAAATGATTGCCAATATATATTGATTAGTTTACAACTTAAATTGAGGCAAAATACTAGATCATGCCGTTAAAAATCATCTCTTCGTGATCACTCAAAGCATGGATGGGAGGTCCTCAAAAGGTATTAATTTTAGTCATATGGTAGGCACTAAACCATAAAAAAAATTATGAAAGACATATATGTTTGGTTTAATGTCTCATGATTTTTTATTGCCAACCCTTAAGACAGCTCATAGTTACTGCTGGTTAAATGTCAGTTGCACTAAACCTGTGTGACAAAGCTTATAGATAGTCCCCCTCTGCCAGCTCTTGCAGTTCGTCCGACACGGTGAACATAGTCCCGCGCATACCTTAATGATTGAAAAGGTTATAACAAGCATACATCATCAATCTGCTGTACCAAAAGAATACAAGAAAACAATTCTAAAAGTTTGCTCGTAATCTACCTGGGAACGTCATAGTTGATAACAAGATCAACTGTTGGAATATCCAAACCACGGCTAGCGACATCAGTGGCAACTAAAATAGAAACTTGACCAGATTTGAACCGGTTCAATGCAGAAAGTCTTAGAGACTGAGACTTGTGAGAATGCAGAGCTACCGCAGCCTGATCAAGTTCTTCTAAGAGCAAACTCAGAAGGTGACAATTTCTGCATGTATTGAACCAAATATCAATAGCCTCACTAGCTAAAAGAACAATACTGAATATCAAATTCATAAATTTTGTACTAAATGTGTCTTCTAAAACACACCAAGAGCTTCAAACCATACAGGAAAAACAGTATCTTGCATAAAGGTGTCCACTAGATAGGTTAACTTAGATTCAGAAGAACTTCCAATAGAAATTACAAAAAAAATGTTAATTTGTCAGATTCTATAAACAGATTTTCTTTAATATTCCTTTGTAGTTTATGTAGTGAACAAGTAAACGCTACTACTAAAACAGGCTATGAATATAATGGTCAATATTGAAAAAAAAAAAGTCTTTATCCGATCATGTACGATGTTTTTTTGCACAAATACTAACATATTATCACTAAGAGCACACGTGCTTGTATTCACAGTTTAAAAAATGTTGAAATTACACAGAAAGAATCTATGTGCTAAGTCGAGTGCAATTGCTACTTATTTAATACAAGGCCCTGATAAAACTGAGGTTTGAACACTTGCCACACAAAAAAAATTACAATTAGCAATCTATGCAGGTCAACCAAAATTTTAGATAAACTAACTAGAAAATCTAAAATGTCATGTAACTGAAATGTCCAGCTACCAACCATACCTGCAAGTGGAAACAAATACTATCACTGAACGGATATTTTTTTCCTCCAGATTTGACAAAATGTGAAACAGATAAAGATCCTTCACATTCTTTGGGATAAAGATGAATTTTTGTTCCAAAGAATCAACTGTCTTAAACCCCTCATATGCCTCATAAAAGTAAGACCTGTTTTGGGAAATCTCAAGCAAGGCACGCAACTCATCTGTGATCGTAGCAGAAAACAAAAGAGTTTGACGGCTCTTGGGCAAACATTTAAATATTACTCGCAGTTCCTCCTCGAAGCCGACATCCAAAACCCTGTCTGCCTCATCGAGAACTAGAAACTGAAGAAATAAAGAAACATATAGTTAGCATATTTATCAATGATATATTGAGTCCATAAGCAAATAAAACTTCAAGCTACAATGTTAAGAAAGCAGATAACAAGGAGTGATACAAAAGCATTTACAGGCTGAACAAAACAAAGATGGATAACATTGTTCAGTGCAACGGCAGATCAATTTTCAATCATACATTCGCTCACATTTTCTCACAAAAAAAAAAGGAGCAAGCATATATTTTATCTGTGGTTGATCGCCTAAGATGTCTCAGAACATGAACAAACAAGAAACATCTTGACCATTTCTAAACTTCCATATGGATTGTTCACCGAGAGTATGTCCCCATACAGTACCTTGATTCACAATCTGATTTGGACGTAGTGATAGGCTGAACAAAGTACCTCAAGTTGCAGCTTATCCTACTACCAGGCTTCAGATAATTTCGACTAGTGCAACTAAAATCACTTTTAGGTTAGAGCTACTAATGCTAGGTATAGCTAAAAAGCCTACCCTCATCGTAAATAGGTCTGCTTATTGAACCAAGTTCCTCACAATTACAGATTAAGGACACTCAAGCATTATTTCTACAGGTTAAACCAATGCAATATGATACAATGGTACACAACCCAACAAATTAAATCCCAAATCCAATAAATTGCATAGAACCATCATAAACCCACACCGATTCAATGGACAAGACAGAGTACAACGTCAGCTAATCTGTGATTTCCTTCATTTTTCCGAGGGTAAGCTATTCTATGAATCGCCAAGAAGAAGAATTCATAAGTAGCAAAACATTGCATGATTTTTCAAGACTAGTAAATGTTCCCACCTTGGTCTTTGAAAAAACTGCAGGTATATCAGGGTCTTCCTCGAGAAGGGTCTTGATCCGCCCTGGGGTCGCAACTACGACATGTGGCCGCTGTGCGAGCGCCCGTGCCTGACCGAGCATGTTCATGCCCCCCACGATGAGCGTGCACCGGACGTTGAGCGACGAACCCAGCGCCCGGAACTGCTCGGCGAGTTGGCAGGCAAGCTCCCGGGTGGGTGTGACTACGAGGGCGAAGACGCCGTAGGGGTCCTCGGCGAGGCGGTGGAGGATGGGGAGTGCAAAGGCTGCGGTCTTGCCGCTGCCAGTCTGGGCGATGCCGAGCACATCGTCGCCTGCGAGGATCCGAGGGATGCAGCGGCTCTGCACGGGGGTGGGGCGCTCCATGCGGAGCTCGCGGCAGGTGTCGATGGCCCACTGGGAGAGTCCGAGATCAGCGAAGGAGTCATTGCCGTCGGCCTCGGCGTCGCCGCGATCGATGTTGCTGCAGGTGGGATCCGAGCGATGGGGACGGAGGGTCGGTGGCGGGGGTTTGGGCTTCCGGGCAGAGGAGGAGAAGAGGCGGAAGGGTTGGGGCTCCGACGACTCGTCCGCCATGGTAGGGAAGGATTGAGTCAGGTCACAGCCGCCGATCGAAAAGACTTGTTTCGAACCAGTCGCCTCCTCTTGGTCTTTTAATTGGGTCGGGATAGATGGCGGATGCTTCGAGATCTGTGACGCCCCTGGGCATCCAATCCGATGGTGCAATCGCCTCCATTAATTACTCTTATATATATATATATATATATATAGGAAGAATTAAAAAATATATATCTTTGATAAATTATTAAAGAGTGCCATAACTTTGAAAATAATTTTGTAAAATATTATCATCGAAAAGATAATTTTATCCATATATCATCATCATCATTATCAATCGCTCTTTCGTCGAATTCGTCCTACTAAATATATCCCTATTTGCCTCATCCTAACTTAAGAAAGAAAATGGTGCAGAAGCGATAGCATTCGTCATGAGCAAAGGCATAATTACCCATTGTCATCGACCACAAGTGACTAAGGGGTATGACTCGCTCTTATCGCGTGTTGGTTCCAATGAGATTCATGCACATTTATTGTTGGGTAGGTCTGGTAGATGTGAAGGTCTCACTCTCGTCATTATGTCTTCATATAATAAGTTCTCACTCTCAAGAAAGATAAAGGGTCGTAAAGGGCACAGATCCCTTATGTGAGAAGTTCGGTAGGGAATAAGAAAGAAAAGATAACGTAAGGTGATGTCACGGGAGAAGACGAAGGGCAAGAGACAAAGGAAAAAATAATTATTTATGAAAAAATAAATTTTTTTGTTGGAGCTTTTTCAAAGAATATATATAATTGAGGATCATTTCAAATTGTAATAACATACATTATAGAATTATACAATATGATATTGACGTCTATTTAACTCTATAATTAAAGTATTTGTATATGTGAAAACATAATATTATGATGGTTACATAGTTCTTTAGAAGGATTATATTATTTATTAATTACGTTTTATTGCGATGGGAAAGCCTTGAATTAATTACTTGCTTGAAAGAAAAGCGTTGAGCAATGGACTCATATTGAAACGAAACGGCATAAATATATAATTACTAATGTTCTCCAAGTATCAAAGTATCATTTATATCTCAACAAGTAGACTAATAAAGAATTGCAGCAAATAGACATTACTACTATTTATGGATCATCATTTATGTCATTTCTTAACATATTGGAGCAAATGCTTGAGGCACCCAGAAATCAAACCCACACTCTGACGAGCACAAAAATGTAGCAAAGGTGGAGATGAGGGTTGAGAATTAAGATCAGTTGGGTCCTTTCTCGGGCTTCTTATTCGGGTGTAAATTGTAGAAAGCATTTCTCTATAGCCAAACGTTCGAACTGCGAGCTTAACGTTGCAGATGCGTTTTCTTCCACTTAGTTCTCCTCGGTCTCGGACACTGCAAACAGCCTCCTTTCCACATAGGCCTGAGAACTGTAAGTGCTTCCTCGTGAGCTCCGAAGCCTCGTTTGGTCTCACCTTCTCTCTCCTTTTGAAGCTTCTGTTGGTCTTTCGTCCAAGTGCTCTCCGGATATCCATTCAGGTGCCTTCTTTTGGCTATGATTTTACCTATATCATCTGCTACTGCGTAAAGAAGGTTAAATGCTCTCTAATAGTTTCTGATTTGCAGCTTCCTTTTCTTCTCTTCTCTGTGAATCTTTTTGCATCTTGCATCAACCGAGAAGATGTCTAACAGATGGAAAAGATGTGTGGTGTTACTACTATTCGTTCTCTCAAATGCATCAGGTACTGCTGCTTTAACTCTATACCGCCCTATCTTCCTCCGTCTCTGAAGCAATATTGTTATATGAGAAGTGGATTCAGAGGTAGACATCATCCGATGTCTCACTACTGCAGCTTGTGCATATGGAAAGGAGCAGATCGATAGGAATCTCCAACCCAGGCTTGTCGCTGAGAAAAGACTGTCTTTTTCCGGGACCAGAAGGTCTCTGAGTTCATCGAATCTGGTGTTTTGTGTGGCAAACTCCAGCGCCAGCCCAAGTGCTTTGAGAAGTGGATTGGATTGGGCGTGTGGACCTGGTTCAGCAAACTGCAGCGCTATACAGCCTGGTCAGCCTTGTTATCGAGACGACAACTTGGTGGCCTTGGCTTCCTACGCCTACAATGACTACTATCAAAAAATGAGAGCCATCGGTGGAACCTGTGACTTCCGCAGTACAGCCATGATCACAGCCACTGACCCTAGTAAGTTCTCCCATCCCGTCCTTCTCTCTTGTTGTCTTTCTTCTTCACTCATGGAAAATCTCGTGTGTTGTCTCGTCATTCCAGGCCATGGTTCCTGCATCTTCACTGGAAGGTAATTGGCTGCTACAGATTCATGTACTTTAAAGCATGAGATGAACAGCTTGTTATGGTCGTATACTAATTTCATGTGCTTGGAAGGACAGCTCAGGAAACACAAGCGCAGGCCGCAACGATTCAGCTACAGGGCAGCCACCCTTCGTCCCCGCTGGCACTGATGGTGCCATGCCATTACAAGTTTTCAGAGCAACCTATCTGCTTCTCATAATACTGCACTTCCTGCTCTGATAATATGTAGTGAGACTTGGGACATGATTCGTGTCACTAGACAGGATTAAACAGGGGAGAAAAGAGAATGATGTTAGGCGAAAAAGTGCACTGATGCTCTTGTAGTTTGGACACCTTTGTGTTGACCTCGAATGACCATGGTTAACTCCATTGATGGTTGTCTTCTCTTTCATTCACTTGTATACTTCCAGCATTCTAATGGCATAGCTATAGGTCTTAAACTGAACCATACTGCTTGCTTTATAGAAGATATGTTCTCAGAGGTTAATAGAGGCATTAAGTTTCTCCAGAAATTTCAGGAAGTAGGAACCTTAGGATAACATTTGTAAGGATTTAGAGCACACAGAATCAATGAACTCATCACAAAGAATAGAAATTTTAGCATCTAGGAGCGAACAAAAAAATTGCAGATCGAGCAACTCTTTATCACTTTCATAGATGAAAACTCCAATGCGATAATGCTGACAAAATGTATTCCGATCGACATGTGATGACTGCAGAAGTGTACACAGCTCTGAGCTGGATTCACTCGCTGGTCTCTCGGTCACATGAACTCGAGTCCACCTTCCTCCAGATAATTATGCGTATATTTACGAAACTAAACGCCGTGGTTCCTCGACGATGTCCAGTCTCCTCGGGCGGTAAGTCCCCGACGCAACAGTGGCGTAAATAAGGGCGTCAAACCCCCTGCGGAGCCGCGACCCGACTACTTCGCACCGGAGATGGTGGTGGAATAATGGGGCCTGCAGCATTGGCCAACTGGGAGAGGGGGTCTTTCTTCGAAAGGTGACTCCTTCCGAGACACCGGAGCTGCATAGTGCTGCTGCCGTTTCTGAGGAGCGCCCGCCAGCCGCCGAGCGCCAACTGAGACTATGCAAGTGCTAATGATGCATTGACCGGAAGAACTGTCCGGCCTTCAACTACAACGAAGCCGGGAAGCTGGAGCGTGATAGGGTGGGATGAAGCAGCGCTGCCTTGATGGGGATGTTGGGCATGCAACAACGCCCTTGTACCAAACGCCACTCCCAAGTCTCTTCCCCTTCCTTGTTTTTCTTGATTTGTGATGATGACGACTCCCTCCACACCAACATCTCGGAGCCCAGGTCCCTGAACAAGTACACCGCCTGCTCGCCCCCGACGCACCTGGTGGCCGCTGACTTGCTCCTTCCCCAGAACCTCCTCCCCAGCTCAGCCGGCACCCTTCCCACCGCCACCCACTTGTCCTCCTCAATCAGTTCCCACACGGCCCCCTGCCCGTCGCCGTCGCCGCCTACCAGCCCCAGCTTCCCGCTGGGGCGCCGTACCAAAGCCGCCCACTCCAGCCGATCCGCCATGGGCGCCTTCACCTCCCGCCACGCCCTCCGCCCCAGGTCGAAGCCCATCACGCTGTACGCCCGAGCGGAGGTCATCCAGTACATGGCCCCGTCGAGCGCGTGCACGCTCTCGTTGGGCGTCCACACCGTCAGCCGCACCGCGAATTCGACTGGCATCGGCCCGACCAGGGACCACCCGCCGGGCCCCGTGTCGTACATCTCCACCGTGGGCTCGTAGCAGGACCCCGACGCGCCGCCGGCGACTATCACGCTGAATGAGGAAGAGGCGTCCACCCCGCGGACGACGATCCCGACGGCCGGATTGCGACGCGGCATCGTCAAATCCGGGAGGTTCCGGAACTGGCGGGTAAAAGGGTTCAGAAGAACGAGGCGGAGGTCAGAGGAGGCCGCGAGCTTGCAGAGGAGAGAACTGCCCACGGGGGCCACGAGGCGGAGCGGGCAAGGGAAGAGGTCGAGGGGGAGCACGTGCCAGCGGTTGAGGGCGGGATCGTGGGCGTAGCAGGAGGGTCTACCGCTGGCGGCGCGCGCGGGCAAGGCCACGAGCCAGGGGGGTTGGCGGGACGGCGGTAAGCGAGAGCGGGCGCAGTCGAACCAGTGCTTGCAGGCCGCCATGGCGCGGGCTACAGCGTCCGGGGGGAGGAAGGAGAAGACGTGGGCGAGGAGATCCAAGGAAAGGTGCTCCCACATGGCCGCCACCTGTTGCTGTTTGTCGAATTGCCGCTCGCCGCTCTGCTTATTTTGGAATTACGGTAGCAAGAGCGATATCCCTGGTTGAGACTGATGCGAGGAGGAGAGGGAGGAGATAGGCTGACAGGAGGGAGCGCTGAAACACCCATGACATGACATTTTGAGACAGCGTCATAATTGAAGGTGATGATAGTGGTGGTGGTGCTGCTGTTGATAATGAATGAGGCGGATTATCTATAATTAGCCATCATTTCGTACGGATTAAAATATGGGACGGAGAGACATCATAGATGTGGAAGCATCTTATGCTTAGGATCAGGATTCCCTGTCTCGACAAAAACTGCCTCTCGTTTGTTGGACTCGCAGGTTGCAGACGAAAAGACCAGTGCCACTTTGTGCTGCCCTCCCGACCAATATAAATGAGCCTTTTCCTGTTTGATGCATCGACCAAGATAGCAGATCCGTAGTCCCTGCCACTGGGTTGCCCATGTGGAGGCTCGTCTTTTTTATCGTATCGATTGCTGCTGCTGCGGAGGACTTCGTCCCCTTTTTATTTTTCCAGCAATCATAGCCTCCGTACCCGCACCATTTCCCTCAATTGTTTTGATGAAGAAAACGTGGGGCTCGTCGCGACGTCCAACCAACAGGCAGGTAGAATTGCGAGTGATGCTTGTGATGTACGTGAAGTGTTTCGTATTTTGTGTGAGGATCGTGACGTGGGTCCAGAGATCTAGTACGAATGCGAACCGTTGGATCATATTTGAACACGTCCAAAAGTCGCATAGATTTGATTTCTCTCATTGAGAGAAGGAAAGGTGCAACGATCTTTTCTTGATTCGAGATTGGTCCCTTAAAGGAGCTGAAAGGCCATAGGGATCGCAGCTCCATTCGTTTCCGGTGAAGGTTATTTAGGAGATCGACATGTCAATAAAAGATATAATAGGGAAGAGTCACTTAGTGCTGCTGATTCTGTGCGTAATACGGAGAGGGAAGAAGGATCGGCTGGCTGACTCAGCGGTCCCCAAGTCATACATACATATATGCAGGAGGCTAATTTGGTCATTCACTGACGACGAAACCATCGTATTCTAATGCCGAATCCCAAAACATCCCAACCCTCCGTCCCGCCGCCGGACTCGTCGCAGCGGCTCCGCCTCCTTGCCTCCGCTCATCGGACCTATTCTTCTCGATGAATCTCTCCCAGATATGCTTAGTCAGTCGGACAATTGGCCGACATCGTGTTGTTGGTGGAACCAATTTGATTCAGTTTTCCTGTGCGAGGGCTACTTTGTTTGCCCTCGTGTTTAGGGTGCACCTGAGCACTGGAAGAGCCCCATCATCGTCTCCGCCGCCGCCTCCTACAGAAGCAGCACACCCACCGGCAGCAGCTCTATCGTCTGCAGAAGTATTCTCCCCAACCACCAACGACTCCACCAACCCACTCTCTTCTCTCCTCCCTCTCTCCCTCAATCCCTTCAATGCCACCGTCGACCTCATTACCTCCCGACTCAAGCAGCAGCAGCAGCAGCAACAAGTATATGATGATGAACCGGGCGGAGGAGGAGGAGAATTACTAGAAGCCCATCTCCTTCCTTTCCTACGCCCGCAGGAGGTCTCCCGCATCCTACTCCGCTGCCAATCCCTCCCCGTCGCCTCCCTCCGTTTCTTCCGATGGACCCAATCCCACGTCCTCCCTTCACCCCACAACTTTGCGCTCCTCGCCCACATTCTCGCCTCCTCTGCCCATTCCTCTCAGGCCCTCTGCATCCTCTCGGACTTCGTCCGCACCTACAACCGCGTTGATGACGCCTTCCAGGCCCTCCTCGCTGCCTCCGCCGCCTGCTGCAATGGCCACCCTGCCGTCTTCGGTATGCTGGTCAAGGTGTATACCAAACTAGGAAGGACCTCGGACGCCCTCGAAACCTTCAGTAGGGCGATCGAGTTGGGCCTCGCCCCTGATGCTGAAGCCTTTAATTGCCTCCTCAACTCTCTTGCCAAGTCCAGAAGCCTTGATCTGTGCTGGGACTTGTACGGCGAGATGCGGAGGATCGGTGTCCCCTTGAACTCGTACACTTTCAACATACTGATACACGCCCTGTGCCGTGGCAGCAGCAAAGAGGGCATCAGGGCTGAGGACTTCTTGGAGAAGATGGAATCGGAAGGGTTCGATCCAGATGTCATCACTTACAATACCCTTATGGACGCGTACTGCCGAAGGGGCATGTTGGAAGACGCATTCCACCTTTACAGGATCATGCGTTACAGGGGTGTTGAACCCGATCTGATTTCGTACACGATTCTGATGAATGGCCTTTGTAGAAATGGTAAGGTCATCCAGGCACGACAGCTGTTCGACACAATGCTTCACAGAGGCGTCTGCCCAGATAGCCGTTCGTACAACGTTCTATTAAATGGATACTGCAGGGAAGGCAAACTGAAGGAATCGAAATTGCTGGTGCAAGAGATGATATCAGGTGGCTTGATGCCAGATGACTTTGCTTGCAGCACGATTGTTGAAGCACATATAAAGGGTGGGAAGCTGCTTCCTTGTTTGAACCTGATTGCATTGCTTCACAAAATAGGGATCATTATCTCTGTTGTTGTCTACAAGTGCCTCATCAATGCACTGTGCATGGAAGGCAGGCCGAGTGCGGCAAGGAGTCTGTTGAAGCGAATGCAGGTTGATGGATATGAGCCTGACCTAGAGATCTATAATTCACTTATGGACTCATTTTGTAAGTGTGAATCTTTGGAGTCAGAGGCTCTTGCTTTAAAGAATGAAATGGTTGGCAAGGGCATCAGACCTGACATTGTTACATATCAAATTCTCATCAAATGCCTATGCAGTTCTGGCAAAACTTTTGAGGGTGAGAGCTTGATGAAGGAAATGATCGAGTGGGATATTCAGCCTGACCCTGGCATATGTGCTGCCTTGGTTGGTGGCTGCTGTGAGAAAAGGGATCTTGCTAAAGCAGAATCACTTCTGGTGTACTTTGCTGAAAAGTTTCAGATATATGAGAACAACGGCTACAATTCCCTGATCCGGTTATACTGTTATGAGAGAGAGATGTCTGAGACAATCGAACTGCAGGATAGGTTGCAGAAGCTAGGATACATTTCAAATGGTGAAACATGCAGAAGTTTGATACATGGACTGTCGAGAAGTAGGAACCATCATGGCAGTATATCATCTTGACGCAAAAATATAAAGGTCCACATGAATTTCACCTGCCGGCTTTGGTGGAGAAGATGAGTGACTGATGCACCTGTTTTGGGGGTGGAATGGACTATTTCCATCCATCATAAGATCAGAACTTGGCATGTTTCTTCATCCTTTTAAATCAGGTGTCTACTGCAAACTGACTTATCTACTCTTCTTTGATGAACTTCTCTTGTCTACTTCACTGTGTATTGTTTATCAACTACTTTTCAGCCTTATCTATCTATATTTTCTGTTAGATTTTTTTAGTACAAGTATTTTTGTCTATAATTTTTCTGCTTTGTTATTTGCTGTTTCTGCTAAAGTGCTTCATACATATTTGCTACTATGTCTTTCCTTGTAAGGTTCTGCCACTAAAAGAGTTAGTCTAGTTGCATGACTTCTGTTTTAATTTTCTTGTCATCTACAATCAATTTTATGGCCACTCTAGACTTGTTGATGGAAAACCTAGTAATAGAAAGGAATATTTGCTAGTGTTTTATTACTCTCCACCAAGATAAACATGTCACATTTTCTCTGTTAGAAAGGTAATGGCCATATGGGTACACCTTAATGTATGGTTTCCTGGATTATTCTAAGTGTAAACATACTTTTTTTTAAATTGTGATACACAAACAAGTCTTTACTTGTAAAAGTATCGTTTATTGATAAAAATGTTATACTGATTGTGAAAGTGGCTTTTGGAAGCAGATATTTGTGACTGTTTAGCGATTTGCATCTGACAGTCTTTCTTGAAGAGTCAAGGATGAGATGCTCAAGCCTTTTATCAGTAGTAGAATCTTCTGTCTTATACATGCAATTGCTTCGTCTATTATGGTAATGTGCATCAGCACTCTGATAATTGAGTTCCCTCTAAAATATCCTAGGAATTTGTAGGATAAAAAGGGCCATAGGACTACTCATGTGTGTCTTCTTTCCCCTTCTGCTTTTTGGCCAAAAATGCTTTAGCAACCTCTGTCTCCTTTTTTCTTTTTTTTGCTTTATATCTATTTGGGCTACATTATGTACTTTTTCTATTTTCTTATTTGCATGTGCCTTGGCTCTTACATCATGTTCATGTTACTCTTGCAGCTGATTGAGTCATTGACTTTATCATTTGCATCAGCTTTACAACTATCATCTTCTTTTAGATCAGCTATTTTCTGTGTGAGTTGATTGATTCTTCAGCTAACATGACTTTAGTTGGTCCTGATCAAATTTTGGTTTCGAATTACAGATTGCTGATGATGAAGGCACAGACCAGAACACTGCCTGTGGAGAATCTTGAAAGTAGTAAAGGACTTGGAGATGTCGCTAATGTTCAGAGTGATGGAGTGAGCGAAACACTTGGCAATTCAATTTATTATTGATAAGGATCGGAACCCCTCGTCCATGGTAAATCGACGGATGACCGTAAGCAGTATGATGAAATAGAATGTGTCATTATACAGTATAAAAGTCTGACTTTTATACATAAGATTAGGCAGTCATTATCGTGTTGCTTTTTATCCAGCAATTGTACAGAAGCATACATCGCGTATTACATATTTCCTTTTTACAACACAAGATGTTGCTCCTTTTTATGTTTTTAGCTATACAGGTCAAATTTACGTGATGGTGTATTTGCAGAATCAGCGGTCGTCACCATTGAGCTCAAGATTCAACGTTGTTGTTTATTAGCATCAGAACTTTGTGAGATATGGCGTGCACAATGCTGGAATACCGACATTAAGATGATGGTGTGGTACACAGCTCCATTCACAAGCTTAAGGTGCTATTTGATTTTGAAGCATTGGAATTTGATGGTGATGTGCCAGCAAGCTACTTGCGTAAGTGCACAAAACTTGATGCGTGCGTTCCACAATGGCTTTTTGTGATTGCGGATGAGGAGGAGTTTGGTGCACGGTGATAAGATCATATCAATTTCTCTTTTATTTATTTATGACAGTGTAATGCCTTCACAGGTATCACAAAGCCATCGACGACGATACGACCCTCCGAAACGAGGCTTGCTTCAAAATGAGAGGAAACCAGGGAGCCACATGACACGGGATTCACAGGTATCCCATGCGTGAACGTACGCGTCGAGCCCGTCCGAGTCACGGGCCACCGAATTGCCGCTGCTCGGCTCTCTTACTCTTCCCCTTCCACTTCTACCTGCCCTTTTATTGGGCGAAGCAATTTCTGGGCCCCACCTCGGGACCCAGATGTGTCCGAGGTAGCTTACTGGGGAATCTTTGGTTTTTGTTTTACTCTGTTGCTATTTATATATAATGATATGTAATCTTTTTCAATGTTCTGGGGGACCGGCGACCTCACGATTAGAAATTGCTGTCTCTTCGGGAATATAGGGTTCCTTTTCCTCTCTTTCTCTCTCCTTGGCGCCGTCTCCGCCCAAGCCAAGTCCAACGAAGACTCCTCTTCCCAACAGATGCATATATTTCAGTCGTTGAATGGATCGCCGCAGCCCAAATAGCAAGCGTTTCGCCCAAATCTCTCCCCTTTTCGCAGCTCCGATCTCGCTCTGCCTTACCTCGGTAAAATCTCTCTCCCGTTATCTAGTTTGTCATAATACCCTTTTCCTCCCCTTTTTCCCGTAGGAATGAATGCATAGTTTTTGTTCGCTTTATTGTGCTTGTGCCTTGGACTGGAACCAGCAGCAGCCTCTGTTTTGGAGATCTGGCTGTTCAGCTCGATATCTTCTTATGCTGTTGGAGTGCTTAATTTCTTTATGTGGACGCCGTTATGTAGTAAATGCCCGATGGGCTCTTTCTTTTTATTATTTTCCTTTCTTGTTCACCCGATTCGTCTTGTTTAATCGGGTAGCTCCTCTGGGCTCTGGGACTGGTTGCTCTCGGCACCGCCCAATTATGTGGCATCTGCTCATGGTGACTAAAAGGAACACTTCTCTAATCGGTGCAAGATGCCATGATGAACTATCTAACTTTCATTATGAAGATGAGTTGCGGATATGTGAAGACAGAGATTATTATTACCTTTTATCCTGCTATAAGTTGTATTCGAGCAATAGGCATCTTATTGATATACTCACGATTCACAGAAATAGAGATTGCGATTGTTTGGTAGCACAGGGCGCGCTGTGTAGCATAGTCGTGAATTCAATTACCTTGTAGGTCTTGTGCTGCATCGTATTTGGCATTCTACATAATTGATGAAATTAGGTAGACAGAGATTATTATTATCTTTTATCCTGCTATAAGTTGTATTCGAACAATAGGCATCTTATTGATATATTCACGATTCACAGAAATTGAGATTGCGATTGTTTGGTAGCACAGGGCGCTCCGTGTAACATAGTCGTGAATTCAGTTACCTTGTAGGTCTTGTGCTGCATCGTATTTGGCATTCTACATAATTGATGAAATTAGGTAGACAGAGATTATTATTATCTTTTATCCTGCAATAAGTTGTATTCTAGCAATAGGCATCTTATTGATATATTCACGATTCACAGAAATAGAGATTGTGATTGTTTGGTAGTACAGGGCGCTCCGTGTAGCATAGTCGTGTATTCAATTACCTTGTAGGTCTTGTGCTGCATCGTATTTGGCATTCTACATAATTGATGAAATTAGCTTCCGCCTCATCTATGGTTGGGTTCCTGATTTGATCGCTTTTACTGCCATTTTTCTTTTCCTTGTATGTTTCACTTCCTCTATGGCCGATGTAAATGAAGCATATTTGCTTTTCTATGTTCTTGATCACTGCACCTTGTCAGGCTTATTCTTCACCAAGTTTTATGTCTTTCTAATTGAACAATGGAACTAGTAGCGGCATTGGATATGGACTGTTTTTATTGATGAAATCTGTAATTATGGTACTTAAGTTTCAAAAGTAGCATTTAACCTTAACTGTATCTCTGTGGTTCTTTGGATATTAGCATTATTAGATGTATTTCTTTTCTCCCCACTTTAGACCTTTATGCACTGGCAAAAGATTTGAATGAAAAGCTTGTTATATTGATAAGAAATTCATGCTGGAATTCAGCTCTCATTTGTTTGCTGATTGCTGTTTACACCTTTTGTTTAGTGACTGTCCCGAGAATTCTTCCGGTGCGTTATTCCTCATCATACTAAGAAGATTTTTGGGTGGTTTCATTCATCTTAAACTAGCTAATATGCCTAAGCAAAGGAGGTCATGGTCTCAGTCCTTTGACCGGCGATCTCGTGCATCACCTTTTCCATCTAGTTCTTCCTCACATAACCAACCTGAGTCTGCAGAATCAGCCAAGGACATCAAAGAATGGGAGGAGGTTCGATGCCCTGTGTGCATGGAACACCCTCACAATGCTGTTCTCCTCCTATGCTCCTCACACGACAAGGGTTGTCGTCCATTCATGTGTGACACTAGCTACCGTCATTCTAACTGTCTGGATCAGTACCGCAAGGCTTTTTCTGGATCCAAGCCACCACAGGATAATGGTGACACACAGCAACCAACCAAGCTCTCATGCCCTCTTTGCCGAGGTTCAGTTACTGGCTGGACAGTGGTGGAGCCTGCTCGTAGATATATGAATGCTAAAACTCGTAGCTGCTCCACGGAGTCATGTGCATTTAGTGGCATTTATGGGGAGCTAAGGAAGCATGCAAGGAAAGAGCATCCATCCGTGCGGCCATCAGAGGCAGACCCTGAGCGACAGCAAGACTGGAGAAGGATGGAACGGCAACGGGACCTTGGTGACCTATTCAGCATGTTTCGCTCAGCTGTAACCAGAGAGGAAGATGAGGTCAACATCAATGAGGACGATGAAGAGACCAATGGAAGCATGTTCATATTTCCCTCGGTCACTATGTTTTTGGTAGTACATGTGCATCGAGAAGGAGGAAACGACACCGGTCGATCATCTCTGCCACGGTCTTTCATTTCAAGCTCTTTGAGGGGTTCATCGAGGGGCCGAAGGAGAAGTGGGGTGGTCCCATGGGGAGAGTCCTTAAGCAATTCAACGTCCACTGGCACGCTTGATGGAGCAAATGACGATGAAGTTAACAATGATGGTGGATCCGATGTGGTAGATACAACTTCTCAACAGAACCAAGGAAGACAACGGAGGCAGGTTTGGATGTCAGATGATGACGGTGATGATGATGATGATGATGATGTATCTTGATGCTAGGCTCAATGTGTTAGGCCCAAAGCACGGATGTCAGATGATGATGGTGATGATGATGATGATGATGTATCTTGATGCTAGGCTCAATGTGTTAGGCCCAAAGCACTGTGCTTGTTTCTGCTCACTCGATATTGGATTAGTTGTGGGCTGCTATGCTTACTACCAGTTTAAGATGCCATATGCTTGTGGTGCCTTGTCATGTTAATTTTTTGTTTTAGCCTTATGAAGCACTGAGCTCGCTGCTGCGCGCCCATAGCTCATGGTTAGGCGTCGCTTTTATTGCAGCATTTGCTATTTGTAAACACTGTAAAGTTGTTGTTCAGGTTACTTGATGTTCTGCAAGTGTTCAGTTCGATCATCACAATACCCTGCCACAATCTCTACTGGAAACAAAGTTGTTAATCAATCACAAGGATGTCTGGGGACAAAAATTTGCAGTTATATACCTCAAAAATTGGCCACTCTTTCTTTTGCTGCAGTAACTTGTCCTGTGCTTCATATGCTGTAAACAAGGAGCCCGGCTATCGAGCACCGGATGGCAGAAGCAGCTATCCGGTTATGGGGATAGCTCATGACTTGCAAGTTTTTGCGATTGATTAGGGAATGGTCGACCGCAATCATGTTCTTAGTATTGCTAAATATGATGCATGAATGAAATGAATGTTTAGTATACACTTGCTAGTGTGTGTGGGCATAGAAAACAACACAGCACATATCACTTCTGACTGTTTGTTTCATACACAACAACAGCATATTTCTGGAGACACGCACCCTACAAAATACTTCTTTGGTAGTTTATTATACAGATGCTGCTTGCTATAATCAAATTCCACACCGTACCAATCTCTACAAAAACAAAAGGTAGTGCAACTGTTCACTTACACTGAGACGTACTACATGCCAACAAGCTACTGCCGAACCCCACTCGACACAATACACATGCATTTACGATAGTTGCTTAAGAGGAATCATATACGCCCTCACACGCCACCTGAGCAAATGCCGAAGCACGTTCTACGTTTCGAGAGCAACGTCTCTCCCCAGTCATGAGCGAGACGCATCGAGCCGCAGCCTCGCTGTGAGCCACTTGCACACAGCATCCATCTCTTCCGGTGTCGTGTAGTGTTCGAGTCTGAAACATGCATTTGCATTGATTTAGAAGTGGAAATATGAAGTTGCTGCTGCAGCAGCAGGAGCGTACCCATTGAAGGTCTTGAACGTGAGATTTCGAAACCCAGACATTCTTAGGACCTCCGCGGACCTCTCCCCGTGGGCATAGGGAACGACTCCATCTCCTGCGACGAGAAAGCACAAGAGTAGATTCAGAACTCTCCGGCCTCGAGAGTAGATTTAGAACTCGTGTGGGAACCATAAGGTACCTCTTCCATGGCAGAGCAAAAGAGGCAAGGAGGCAGCCCGTCTTGCAGCATCTTGTGAACTATCCACCTTGGTCTTCAAGCTCCTAATCGTGTGGAACATGGACATGATTTGTTTACTTCGATTCATATTCCCAAAAAATTATAGAAGTGGTAGATTTCCTATATCAGAACAATCAAAGAGGACGCTATGATTTAGGTCGGAACAGACCTGGAACATGGAAGCCAGCCACTGAGACCAACAACTGCACTGAGGGTTATGGGGTATACACTGCCATTTCCATATTTACCATGCGTGAAGCAAGTGGCAGAGTACAGGGCAGCTGCAGCACCCATGCTGAACCCACCGATGCCAAGCTTCACTGTAACAATTGGAGGAGTGAGCGCATCATATCCAGCAAAATATAGATTTCCTCATTCACATCTATAATATAGAGCCAGATTTAATGTGCTGATCTTTAACAAAAGTACCATCGGGTGGCTCAGAAGACAGTAGATTTGCGATATGTGCTGCCGAAGCATCCATTCCATCAACATCATCAGCGCCATCCTCTGATATCTCCCCGATATCAAACCCTATGAGAATCATTGAAGATGGAGCAGATCCGCAAGTATAGTAACAATCAGAAGTTTAGCAGAGTTCAAGGAAAGAATGATCTCCAGAGCTGGAGAGTTACATGCTGTGCAGGCAAATCCACCAAACATTGCAACCGGTCGGGTAGGAGCAGTGGGGCATATCCACTTAATCTGCAATGGCACAAGTTTTAGTTTGAATCTGCAACGATCAATTATGCCTTCCGAAGCAGGAGAATAATGCACTAAGAAACCAAAAGGAACGATATCATGGTGAATGATAAAGCTCGCAAGTGATCGGTCTACACTTACGTTTGGCAGAGGAAGGGTTTCCACGAGGTGGGAGCAACTGCACCAGGAAAGCAGGAAGTCAACATAAACGAGTAATTAGTCCCCTGAAAACTGTACTAGAGAACTACCATTCTACTGCAGCGAGGCAGATGGGTCATGTAATATCTGTGTCATAAAATCTTTTTCCTTGAACATCATGTTCGTCGACAAGATTGCAGGGTGGACACAAAAGTTTGGTTCTTACTTCATTGCTGCAGCAGACTACCATGCGATGGCCTAACGAGGACTTACCTTGGAGAATACAGAGACAACACGAGGGTGAAGCAGGAAGCAACATGAAACCAAAAATGGCTTTGCTAAGTGAGGAGAAAGGTGAAGGGGTGGTGCAGAGCCTGCAAGGCATATTCTGTTTCCGAATGAGAACGACAAGGGTATGGCAACAAAGACATATGTTGAGTGTTGGGGGTTTTGGATGGATTTGGGCAGGAGTTAAAAGAGATTCCCAGGAACAATCATCGACGCATTGACATTCTCCAGCTAGACATGCCATCCTTCTGTTCCCGAAAAGAGATCGATGTGCCATTCAAGTACATCCTACGAAGCCAAGCGATGCTAGGAACGAAACATTCTGAATGATAAGCCACTCGATCAGGAAATCTGCTTATGAGTGTTCTGTATCCAATCCTAAGTCTTGACACGAGGCGAAAACATCAAAGCCGCAGAGATCAGATTCTCAAAGACATACCTTGCTCCGGTATCGCCTAACCCATGAAGCCACACGATGGTAGCTTGGTGTCTTCCCTTCGGCCTTACCACGTAGCTTCTCCCGAACTCCACCGGCCTCCTGGTCGCACCTGCAATCCTCCATCTCAGTGAAGCAAGCACTAGCTTCGATGCAAGCACTCATGCATTACGACCAAGTGCGAGGAACCTAACCAGAAGCATACGAGCTGCTACCGCGATGCATTTCGACGGGAGAGGAGCAGTCGATGACCCTCTGCTGCTGCCGCAACGGGCTCCTCTGCATTGAAGAATCGCTCGATTGACCTCTATTTATAAGAATCGTTGGCGAATGGGATGCGAGAACAAGCCGGGAATCCGCATCGAACTACAGCGCTGCTCACTGCTTACGACTAAACCGCGGAGTAGTGCTTTTGGGAAGACCTAACAGCACCCGATAAGGAAAGCTAGAGGCATATAGAAGAAAAGGCATTGGAGCTTTCTTCTATGCAGAGAGTGACTGGTGGCACCACCAACTCTCGTTCGTGAGCCGTTTAGCCAATACGATAGGTAGAAGTGGGATGAAGGAAAGGGAGAGATGCTTGGGATTTGCGTGTGGGAATCGATGCTTGGGACACAGTGGAAGGAAGTGGGAACCAGCAGGAGTCCGAGAATATCTTCTGTCATCAACCATTCGGATCAGTGTCAGACCATTTTTGGTTGCTCGAAGAGTAGCGTCCAAGAATTGCATATCGTGCTCTCTCTTCACCGGTGCTTCTCTCATAATCAAATGATCTCGTCATTCAATGCTGAGAAGAGTACAAAAGACAGAATCAAATGAAAGATCAGCTCACGGCGACACAAACAGAGAACGAAGTAGATTGGACACTCGTACTCTCTGGCTTTCACACCATGGATAGATAGATAGATAGCTCATGACATTGGCAGATAGGTAAACTTAGGGAGTCGTACGTAATGCCACGGGATCCAACACATTATTTGTGTCATTATCTTATCGATTCGATCGAGAGCTTTTCATATTTGACATTGAGGTCCCATCTCAAAAGAAAGAGAGATCTCCACCCATGATAGCGAAGTGTTCAGGTCGAAGCCTGCTGCCCTACCGTGCAAATGCAAAAGGAATAATTGGACTCACCATGGACTATAAATTGTCTCTCTCTTTATACCCCCATTTCAGAAAGGTCTGCAACTAATTTGGTTCCTCGGCTCCTCTTCATTCAATGGGAATCCCATATGGTACACCTTTATTTTCTACTTTACTAGTTTTGTGAAGATGATGGCAGGCAGCCATATGAACAAACGATATTTCATACGCCACTGATCCAAAAAAGATAAAGAAATTGTGTTTAGTGTGAAGAATGCCTTAATATTCTCTTCATTTTCCCGTATAATGCATTGAACATGATGGTGATGGCAAGCTTTGTTTTGTCACTCCCAAGAGCGATCCAATAGAAGCCAACTTTGAAGTCGAAGAAAGTAGTGGAGAATCCTTCTGAAAACAACAATATCCAAGGAAAAAAGCTGTGCAGAAGTCAAAGTGGCTCTACGTGCGCTGATAAGCATCTCTTCTTCTTCTTCTTCTTCTTCTTTCTCGATTTCACTGACTTCCTTGTTTGTGTGGATGGCAGAATCCGTGTTAGACATTCGACGAGGAGATGCTGTCTTTTCTGTAGCCCTTTGTCATGCTTATCCATGTTATGATCGTTTCCTAGGAAACTGCATGAAGCCAGTCGCTCGTCCTCCGCGTGAGCTGACACGTCGTGGTTACGTCTTTTGTGAGCTGCCGCATGCAGGAATCAACGATGCTCCGATCACGGCGTAGGGCTGTGCAATGTCAACTGTTCTTGATCGAGTGCGCACCAGAAGAAAGATGCTCCGATCCACAAGTAGCATTCGAACACAACGGTGACAGGTCATTTATATTAAGTCTCCGTATGGAATGACCGATTCCGATGACGATCGACTGTCTTTTAAGTATTGATGTGTTTTAGGTAGAAGAAAGGGACGTTTACCTGCAGATCGGAACTCATAGCACACTGTATCTTTGGATAATATGAATACTAGAGGAGACTATAGTGCGGTTGGAAATTTTGATTCTGATGTAGCATAGGAGAAGCTATTAATCCAAATAAACTCAAGGAATCAAATGAGGCAGTGGGAGGATCCCCTCAACACAGCCTCCTATCACAGGAGGTGCAGGGTGAGCAGGCCGCAGTGAAGTAACACACAATTCCGGCGGCTCTGCAATCGAAGCACAGTGCTATCGAGCTGACAAGATCGACGACACATCCAATGAATAAGTCGTTGCCGATTGGGTATCCAACTCCAGCATTCCGGCTGCCGCCGCATGTGTATCCTTGGCTCCCGCCTCATCGAAAACGTCCGGCTCGGGGGATAAGAGGCTCGAGATGATCATGTCCGGCTTCGGTGGGTCGTCGTCGACGGCGATCCTACCCTCGAGCATGTCCACCACGCGTGCCATGCTCGGCCGGGTCTCCGCCTTCTCCTGGATGCACCACAGCGCCACATGCACCAAGGTGCGCACCTCCTCCTCGTCCGGTGGCCCTTCGACGCTCTTCAGCCTTTCGTCGACCACCTCCATCATCCTCCCCTGCCTCACCTTCTCGCTCACGATCTGGGGGAAGTAGGACCACTTCCTGCGCGAGGCGACGTCTCCGTCCACCAGCTGCACGCTACGCCGCCCTCCGACCATCTCCAGCAGCACCATCCCGTAGCTGTATATGTCGGACTTGTCGGAGACGCCCGACCCGATGATCCACTCGGGGGCCAAGTAGCCGCGCGTCCCCCGGATGGTGGTCACCACCCGGCTCTCGTCCTTTCCCATCAGCTTCGACAGCCCGAAGTCCGCCACGACGGCCCGGAAGCCCTCGTCGAGCAGGATGTTCTCTGGCTTGACGTCGAGGTGGAGGACGCGGGCGCGGCAGTCGTGGTGGAGGTAGCTCAGGGCCTTGGCCACGTCGACGGCGGCACGGTACCTCATGGCCCATGGCAGGCACCGCCGGCGGCCGTCGTGGTCCTTCCGGGCGGAAGGGAAGATCCAGTTGTCCAGGGATCCGTTCGCCACGAATTCGTAGACCAGGAACTTTGGGCCGGCTGGGACAATGCAGTAGCCGAGGAGGCGGACGAGATTGACGTGTTGTATGCTGGCGATGGCGGAGACCTCGGAGCGGAACTCACGGTCCCCACGCTCAGCCGCCTCGATCCGCTTCACGGCCACGGGCGTTCCGTCGTCGAGGATCCCGCGGAACACCGACGCCGAGGAGCCGCGCCCCACCAGGGCCTGGAAGTTGTCGGTGGCCACCACGAGGTCGTCGAGTCGGAACTTGATGGGCAGGCCCGCGACCTTGCGGAGGAAGCTGTACTCGACGCGGAGCTCCTCCCGCTCAAGCGCCGACCACCTCGCCGCGGACATCTGCATCCGGTCGAGCGCCGTGTACAAGGTCAACACCCAGGCCAAGATGGCCAGGATGGCGGCAAAGACCAGGCCGGACACGATGTAAGAGGTAGTGGACGGTCCGAGGCAGATCCACAGGACGACGAGCAGGACCAGGAGGCTGACGACTGCAGAGGCGGCAAAAACCTTTGCTCTCTTGGACTCCATGAGAGGAGGTTTGTGCGTGAAATTAAGCTTGAGAGAGAGAGAGAGAGAAGGTGGATGAATGTGATTCGAATCCCTCTTGCAGTAGTATTGCCATGGTTTGGTGATCAACGCTGGGGTGTTTTATCGCTGTCGGAACTGAGAAGTGGTCTAACAAAACTATGAAGTGAAACTGTTCTCCTCTTTTTCTTACAATACTTCACTTGTGTTTCAGGAAACTTTGATGGTTTATTGGAGGAACACTTCAACTCGAACGTAGGCAACCTCAGACTTTGTTGTCTGAAAGGTGACGAAATAATATTTTCACTGGACTCGGGCAGGAGGTGAAGTAGGTTTTCATTGACTGGCTCTTAAAATGACATCACTTTGGACCCGATCAATGTTGACCAGAGAATTCCACATTCGAGTTGTGAACGCTCGATGCAGGTTTGTCTTCTAGGATTCGTTGCAAATCCAAATTTTGTTCTCCACTTCAAAGCTCCACCAGTTTGATCTCCATGAGTGATCCTCCCTAAGCACTCCAATGCCTTATTTAATGGGTGCAAGTAAAAAGGTCAATTATTTATTGTATTCATTTTCCATGGGGTAGCCATTGGAAGGTTGACTACGATGGGGTGACTTGTTTCCTCTATTTCGGCTAACATTAACACCTGAAGATATACCATTAATTTACAGAACAAAAAAAACTACTGTCACGAATAATGACACGCAGAATAGCTTTGAGAAATAATCTGCGACAACAAGTAGGTCTATTTCAAATAGGATAATGTAAAATAAAAATAGAAATGAAGAACAAGCATCACAAAACATTATACTTCGATATAAAGAGCACGCAAGCTCCTAATTCCAGCAAAAGAACAGGTTGCTCGCAGCATAAAAGGCATCGAATTCAGCACAAGATTTCTCGAAACTTGGCTCCACATCAACTACACGACTGGTCTCCACGACTTCTCAAATGGTAAAGATCCAAGTTCAACTCCTTCGGGCAAGATAATTGAAATGGTTCGAAGACTTGGAACTAACTACATGATGCTGTGAGAGCTCACTGCATATGGACACCTGAACTAACAAGGGCCTAATCGAATACATCATCATCGTCATCGGGAAGGGGTTGGGCAGCAGCTGCAGCCAACTCTGCTTCATGCCTGAAAATCAAAGATAACACGGTCAGATAACCAATATTGAGAACCTTAACATGAAGTGACATGATGACCATGACAGATACAGTGGGCCATCGAACACACAATGAACATTAGAATGCAACAATTTCACTTAATGAATTCAGATTCCAAAGTTTTCTCACTACATCTGTCGGCAATTAAGTACCAAATATAACTAGTTATCTTGCATGATATAATGATTAAAAAAAGAGTCATGATAATACATACAGACGATACATTGACCGTATGTGATGGTATACAACAAATCTTAACGACTTTTAAGCAACTAGGAATAAGAATTTGCAATTTTAAATTATAACTGACAAAATGTTTATACAAACCATCTGTTATTTAGACCTAGTGAAACATTTGACAATGCTTCAAGAAGTTATCTGATCTAATATACACAAAATACCGTGCGAGTCACCAATTCCGAGAGACATCTAAGATAAACACCAAAACTTCTTCGATGTCATAACTCAACCAGGAAAACATTTAGAATCATGGGGCAGAAGTTTGGAGCAAAAAACATTTGGAGCCATAGAGAGAAAGTTGAAACAGTTTTCAAACTATTGATCAGGAAGTTAAGGTGCACGTACTGTTGCTGTGCGGCCAGATCAATCTGAACTTCTGGAGGCGCAAGTGCTGGAGATTCAACAAAGTGAAGATTTGGGTCCCTGCCAACAGAATTGTCATCAAGTTTACCTTGTATATATATTCAGATATGATGCTTACACAATTTCTCATTACCCTGCAAGTTTTCTAGCAAGATAGAGGAAGGGCTTCTCGAAGTTATAATTGCTCTTTGCAGAAATCTCATAGTATTGGAGGTTCTTCTTCCTGTGGAATGTAACTTGCTTTGCTTTAACCTGCCTGTTCTTCACATCAACCTTGTTGCCACATAGAACAATTGGAATATTCTCACAAACCCTGCTTTGAGAACAAAATGGGTAATAAAACAGTTTGAAATGTGAACAAAACATGCGCTGATTCAGTCTCAAGTATTGTCAAACAACCTGCACAGGTCCCGGTGCCATGTTGGAACATTTTTATAAGTCAACCGGGCAGTCACATCGAACATGATAATGGCACATTGGCCGTGGATGCTGTGGACGAAAGTTAAAAGAAATCAAGTTAAAAACAAATAGCGTCACACAAACCTTACTGCAGTAGATCATCATGTGACTCTAAGCAGCAGCAGTTACAGAATTAAAAGCAATTTTGCTTAGCACACAAAAACAGTAATGGAAAATATGAACTTCGTTAAAGGAATGACCTATTAAAACTTGTTGTCACATCACAGGAAACTGAAAGTTCAGGCAAACAAGAACATTAAGGTCCCATGATCCAACAATTTATCATGGTGACAATTTACTAGTCAAACTCCAATAATATTGCATCATAACATGATCTACCTGTCATGTTAATCATAGACATACCAACGTCTAACATGTACATGACAAAAAATTTAAATGTGTGTGCTTCATGAGTTTACATCAACACCCAAAATGATTAAATATGTATTATGTCAAGAAACAATGAATTCACTTTTTTTTAACTGGATAAATAGCTGCTCAAGAGTAACAAAATCGGTTTCATAAGGCCACTTGATCACCCAAGTAGAATTTAAATGATTGCCTACTTAAAAAAAAGCCTCTACCCATGCAAAAATGAACTTGTTATTCCGTGGACTCTTTTACGGAAAGCTACTTGTATGCCTAATTATTCTTTATTACCTCCACAAGTTTACGATACCTTTTCGCCTGTCTCCAGAGTTCTCAATCAATGACCTATTTCTGCTAACTTAAAGTATTTCACAGGAAAAAAGTCCATCGAACTCGAAGGGAAATAAAAATAAAAATTTTCAAAAACAAGCTCATCTTCCGCAGATAACAGGACTTTCGAACAGTTGGTGAGAAATCAGATATCGCATAAGAGAACTATATGTAAAAATTAAGCTTCTCGTTAAACAAGTAATGTCAAATCATCAACCTGAATTGTGTGAATGATATTAAAACACACTCACTTTTATTTAACGCCAAGAAGCCTCCATCATTCAATGTGGCAAACATCTAATTATGATAATCCCTAAGACCTCATTCATTTTGTTTATATATTAAAAGGTATCAATACCACACTAACAGCTTCAGCTAGAGCAATTAACTAGTACATCGATACTTAGAAACACCATGTGTTAGAAGTTAATTTAATTTTGCTTCAGAACCAAACTAGTGAAGCAGTTAATTAGCCGCAAACCAAAGAATACAACCAAATTCATTTGCATTTATTTTTCCTACGACCATGATCAAAATAAAAGCAGAGGGTTCAAAACTTACTAGTATCCATCTCTGAGGCCACCAAATTTCTCTTGACCAGCCGTATCCCAGCAATAAAACCTAATCTTCCCACAGTTTGTAAAGAAATCCAACGGATGGACCTCGACACCAATTGTGGCTGAAAAAAAACCAAAATTCTGTATATTTGACAAGAGAAAGTAAAAGAAAAGATATGTCCAGACACAGTCACAGTACTTACGTTCATACTTCTTCTCGAATTCACCAGTAAGATGCCTCTTAACAAATGTAGTTTTCCCTAAATCATAGCATTAAGAAAGTAAATGATTAAATTGACAAGAGCACCTGCAAAACTATTCATCTTTTTGAACTAAAAAAAGGTGCAATTCTTTGAGTTCCAACTGCACGTAAAGGAAGATACTCGTTGTCAAGGAAGAAACATCATGCAATTCGACTAGCACAGGCAGAGGAAACAAAAGCATTACCGAGAAATACGGAAGAGTAAGACCGAAGAAAGCGGCTTTAGAATTAATATAGAATTTAATACAGAGAATGTTGATCCGGTAATAGCAATCTCCGCGAAACCTCAGAGGCACCAGGAATTTTATGCAAAAATAAATAAAAATATAATAAAATAACCAAGGAGACGAGAAAACCATTCCAAGGATTAAGGATCACAAGGCCAAACGAGAAAAGAGATAGGAGGACATCTCACCGGTCCCTCCATCACCGACGAGAACGAGCTTGAAGCTCGGGTAATCGACGGTCTGTTGATTCGGCAACGCCTGCAAACAATAGCGGCGATCAAAATAAGTAGAAAAGAAGAAATCAATAAAAAAAATCCCACACGTAAGAAGGAGGAGGCGAGAGAGCAGATGGAAAGTTCCTACCATTCGAACGATCGATCGATCGCTCTCGCGAGGGACAGACGAAGAGGGGCGAGTCCGAAGGAGGAAACGTCAAGATAGGGAGCGGCGCGTATATATAGAACACATAGACGCGAACCCTAAGTCTAGATGCTTTCATTTTTCCTGTCTCTGCTTCGTTTGAACGCGACATTCCTGGCCGTTGGATTCACTAACATCGCGTCCGCGAACGCCGTTGTGATCTATAATATCCACTCAAAGCTGCCGCTTCCAGTGGGCTGGGCTTTGTTGGGCTTGGGCGTTCAAACATGCATCTCCTTGGCCCAAACCACGACAACAATGCGTGGCTATTCTGCTTCGGACAGACCCGTCGTGCACCAGTTCGGTCATGTTAGGGTTCGATCAACTTTGACCGGGTGACGATATGTCACGACTTTTTAACACCAATTTGTGTTCTATTCATTTAAATATTACATTATATAATCATCAAGGTTTCAAAACAAATAAGTTATCAGTTAGTCAATATTATATTACTTCATCTTAAGTTGTCAATTGATTATTTCTTATGAAAGTGAAAGTTATATATATATATATATATATATATATATATATATTCTTGTACAAGTGATCAACATCGGGAGGATGTCCCGACTCGACCCCTCCGACACTCAAGTCAATAAAGTAAGTAGAGGGAGATTTATTATGGCTCAAAAAAATTTAAATAGAGCTCGCTTGCCATGTCTGGTTTTAAAATCTAACTATTATACTTAATTCATCGATGGAGGGTGGTCAATCGCTAATCCTCCCTCGAGCCTCTCGTATCGTCAGGGGCTTATTTATGTTAATGGCGAGTGAACAAATCTTCCTAACGGTTGCATTAGGGAAGGATGGTTGCGGGCGCACCATTTGTTAGGGCAAGAGCTGCTAATTATAAATGTCCTATAAGCCAATCACGTAAGTGATGACATGTGTGACATGATACGCATTCTTTTGCTTATTATATTTTGATATTTTATCGCTTTATATTGCTTGTTGTATATATGCATATATATTATGATGTTTATGAATCTGTGCAATAAAAATTGGGTTATGATGAGATCATGATAATGAGACCGATTTACCTTTAAACATAGACCATAAATAATCTTGGTCATAAGTTACTCGAAAAGGACATCGAGATAACCGAACAGATTGATGTGCTATATACTCATCCATATGATAGAAGCAACTGATATCATAACTGCTCGTGTGGGAACATTAGGGCTATAGTATATGTGCATATTTGAGAATGAGTTTATTGATTGATCCGCTCATAGAATGTTGGATGGTTAATGATACCTCATTGTCAGACAACGATTTTATTGTCCCAATGGTGTACATGGTCCTTAGACTTGAGACACCAAGAATATCCTATATGAGTATTTCATTCTTTGATATCGGACTCATAGGCCTGAAAGTTTCAGAACTAGCACAATCGATCATTGGGAGTGACAACCAATCTTATGAGGACTATTGAGTATCGATAAAAGATCATCCACTCTCGATATCATGGGAGGAATATGCCATGTATTTTTGCTCAGATAAATCCATGGTCAAGGTCATTCGGATTGTGAGAGAATGAGTTCTCCAGGAGAATATGATTAGAGCGAGACTCAAGGAGAAATCGTATGGGTTTGATAGCACCATGTCTGATATACGGTCATTGAGATATTAGACGGATGAGGAACTATAGATACATAATTACGAGGACAAATAAGAGGACAAATAAGTCTAAAGGATTTTCTTTCCCTGTATTGTTTGGGCGTTGCAGCGTAATGACATTGTACGTCCGCAATCGATGAGTCGAGTAAATTATTATGGAGATAATAATTCACTGAGCTAGAAGGAGTTCTGATAGGTATGACTTATGGCCAACTCAATATTGTGTCTAAAGGGTCATACACATATGATAGACGTTACGACGAGTAGAGGTTCAGATATGAGATATTCGTTGGAGCCCCTATCTTATTGGATTTCGAATAAACTTCTGAATTATTTGATCCATATGGATAAAATCCAATAAGAGCCACTGAGAGATTCTTGGATAGAGATCCATTAATCTAAGAGACTTAGGTAGTTGGATAGAGATCAAATATCCAATAGGGTATGATCCATTAGGGTTAAATTTACAAGAGACCTCTATAAATAGGAGGGGACCAAACACTCATAGGCTAGAGGTTTCTTGGTTGCCACCTCATATTCTCCTCTCCCCTTCTCCTTCTTAGATAGCATGTGTAGAGTAGAGATTTGGGCAGTGATTGGAAGAGTACCGTTGCAGCCCTACTGTGTATCATCTCTAGAGTGGAGAGCACTTGACCTCCTTCATCCTCTCATACAGATCTGCAGGGATATACGATCTTCCTAAGTAAAACATAATCTTTCATATATTTAGTTTTTGGTTTGACGGATTTTGCGCATCATCTTTGCACGACGACAAACACATCATTGGAAAATTTGAAGATTTTTATTTTATGTTCTTCCATTGTATATATGATGTCTCCCCTAGATTTCCCTATAAGAGCGTGCTTGAAATGGATAAGTGATGTGGCTCGATATCAAGTGCCCGGAGAGGAGAGCTCTGTTGGAAAATTTGGGGCGACATCACATGCGCAGTGGAAGAACAAAAGAATAAAATCCCAGAATTCTCATAGAAAAAAAGGTTTCATTATCGTGCGAAAGTTGGTTCGCAAAAACCCACAAAACTGAAAAAACTACGCGTAAGAGAATTACCTTGGGAGATCGTATATCCCTAAAAAACTACATATTTATGGGAAAGGATGAAGGAGGTCAACTATCCTCCTCTCTAGTGGTGATTTGGTAGGGACTGCGAATATGTTCCTCAAATTATTGCCCAAAACTCTTCCTTGCGCACACCACACAATCAAGAAGGGGCTACCTCCTTTGGCTATCTATACACCCCAAATAGGGGCTGCAGTATGAGGAGGAGAGGGAGAGAGGAGAATAAGAGGAGGCATCTAAAAAGAACCTCTAGCCTATGGGTCTTTGGTTCCATCATATTTATAGATGCCTCATATAAACTTAACCTTAATAGATCTTGTCATATTGGATATTGGATCTCCATCCAACTACTCAAACCTCTTAGATTAGTTGGTCTCTACACAATAATCTCTTATTAGTTCTTATTGGATCTCATCCAATAATTCATGAGCTTATTGGATATCAAATAAGATAGGGACTTCAGCGAATATCTTATATTTGAATCTCTATTCATTGCAACACTTACCATATGTGTGTGACCCTCTAGGCACAATGCCTATAACTTATCAAAACTTCTTCTAGCTCAGTAAATTATTATCTCCATAATAATTCACTCGACTCATCGATTGTGGACGTACTAGGCCACTACGCCGCAATCCCTAGACGATACAGAGTAATACAATCCTTTGGACCTATATATCCTATGTTACTATGTATATATAGTCCCTTATCCATCTAATTTCCTAAACACTATATACCAGACATGGTGCTATCAGGCTCATACAGTTTCTACACAAGTCTCACTCTAACGGATTCTCCTAGAGAACTCTTTCTCTCTAAATCCGAATGACCATGGCCAGAGATTTGTCTAAGCAAGAATACATGAGATATTCCTTTCATAACACTAAGAGAGGATGATCCTCTATCGACACTCAATAGCCCTCGTAAGGTTGGCTACCACTCCCGATGACTGGTTGTGCTAGATTTGAAATCTCCATACATATAAGTCTGATATCAAAGAGTGGAGTACACATACAAGACATCCTTAATATCTCAAGTCTAAGAACCAAATACACCATTTGGATGATGGAACCGCTGTCTGACAATAAGGCATCATCAACCATCCAACATTCTATGAGCGGATCAATCAGTAAACTCATTCTCCAATGAGCACCTGCATTGTATCTCTAGTGTCTCCACATAAGCAACTATGAGACCATTTGCATCCATCATATGGACGGGTATATAGTACACCAATATGTCTGATTATCTCGATATCCCTCTCGAGTAACCTATGACTGAAATTATTTAAGATGTGTTTAAACGTAAATCGATCTTATTATTGTGATGTCATCACGATCCGATTCTCATTGCATAGATCTATAGACATCACAATATGTTCATGTAATATACAATATAAAATAATAAAAATATTAAATAATAATAATAAATAAAAAGACTACGTATCATCACTCACGTGATTGGCTTGTAGGGCACTTATTACAAGCAAGCTAGGCCATGTCGTCTATGATTAATGCTCCTTGCAATTAAGCATGTGAGCCCTTCCAAAATCATGATCGAGGGCAACGAGAAGTTGGTAAACCGATCGAGGGGGAAGCCGAGAGGATGAGCTTGGCTACTGTATATCGATGGTCGACTCATGTGATTTCCCTAGGAATCGTGCTCCGATTGGTGGCCATGTGAGGGGGCGGTACGAGCTCGCGCATGTCAATTCCAAGTAGCGACCGACGATTGATTGAGTCATAAAATGTGTGGTTGAGGTGGCTTCCCCAGCCACAATAATGGGATGAGTTGGCAATGCTATTATTTTCCTATTGAGGTACGTATATTTAATATATTTTTATTTGATTTTAATTTCTAACATTAAAGTTATTTTCTTAATAATGTATAATCATAGTTTTTATGCTTATATTGATAAGTTATTCTTAATATGTACTATTTTTTATTTTAAGATTAAACTCAAGTTGTTGATCTTAGTATTTACTCACTTTAGATATATAACTAAATCGAAACATCATAATTTTGCTTACTTATGGGCTTGGTCCCGTTAAAGACCGAACATACACTAGAATTCGATAATATTGCATAAGAGACATGATCTAATGATAATTTTATATTATAATATGCCTTCTGGACATATTATACACATGTAAATTTTTTTGGACTCGATCTAACGAGATATTAATATATTAACTTCATTGAATATAAACCACTAGCCTGAAATAAGTAAGCATGAGTTAACAATAGTAAATCCATCCAACAATATTAACCTTTATTAACTTCTACGTGCGACTAGCATGTAAATCAAAAAAATAAAATTAAAAGGATCATGAGGCAAAATACATTTTGCGTATAAGGCACAAAGTTGTTAAAAATAATAATTGGGGAAAGTATTATTAGCACTAGCAAGTATTTTATAGATTCTTCAAGCCAATAGATATAGATGGTAAAGAATCATAGTATAGAAAGGGCTTCATCGTGAGGAATCGAAACCCAAAAACTAAAGTTTGATTATGCTATAAATATCATGGGGGAGTAAGATGTAAAAAAATATTTTAAATATTTTTGGATTCTAGCATGAAAAAGACTTTGTTATGAAAGAAGAGAAGTATAAAAATTAGAGTTCGATTATTCTATAAAACCTCATGTATATTTAAGTTTTGACGAGGAAGCAAAACATAAGAAAATACTTTAAATGTTTTTGGGTTTATTTTTAGTGCATCTAGAATGGATGAGAGAAAAGATAAGATAAATTCTTTAGAATTTATGCAAATTATTATATAAGTGGATTTACACATAGAATTGATTTCATATAGTGAAATTGTTTAGTTTTATTTATATCCAAATATATTAATTTCATATTAACTTTTTAGTTTGTTCCTCCCTTATTTATCGATGTGTGAGATTTTTTTCATTTATTTTTGAAGGTTCGTCTCCTCCCACAAAAATTAAGCAATTTAGATGAAAATGAAAACGAGTCGCATTGTAAAATCATTCCATAACATAACATGAAAGATCATGATAAATTTAAACTCGGAAGAATACGAGGAAACCTATCGAGACACAAATCGAAAGTCATTCGTACGAAGAAAAATATAGAGATAAATTAGATATTAGTTGGTGATCAATCCAGACATCAAAGCATGCTCGCTGACATATGACATAAATATTAATCGTTGGATCGAAGATTAATCGATAAGTATTAGAGTTCCTCCAAACTAGATAATAAATAAACAAATAAAATAGAGATATAGATATGCAAGATTAAAGATTAGTCTCACATTACACAACCTACAAATGGTATCTAATCCTCAAATAAGGTAGCATGATCCTTTCTTTTTGTCGCCTACTTAAATTTGTTTCACGTATATCATGTAACCTTTTGATGTGTGCATGAATGAACCAAGGGAGATTGACCACCAAACCAAATCTAAAATCGTTAATCGAAGCCAAAGGTTAGGGTTCAATCACTCTAAATCATCATCCAAAGGTTAGAGTTCAATATTCTGATGTATACATTCATCAGCCTTCACGTTGGTGCAACCTATGCTCACTGCGCACGTAGATAATATCATGTTGCAGCGTAACATAATGGATGATGCCATCAAAGTTCATTTAAGATACAGAATCTCTCACTTATTATATCTCGTATTTTAGAATCTCTGTGAAGTTAATCGCATACCATTTAGGATTACACGCCTTTTTCTTTTTTTCTTCTATTCACTTCACAGGGAACTCATGTAGAAGCAATAAGCTCTATGAATAGATAGATAGATAGAGAGAGAGAGAGATAGAATTCCACATAATAATATTTAGAATATTAATATAAACACAGCTTGTGCAGAACTAGGAAACTAATCATGTGTCATTTATAGCAAAAAAAAACAAATGCCACGCCTAATGATAATTAGGAAAGTAAGTAAAACACAAACCAAAGAAAACCAACGATCGGTTATGACAACTACCAAAAATTTCCCTATTCGTTCGTCGATGTAAGGGTTGATTGGATTGGTGTTCTTTTTGTGAGTGTTCGACGTTGCTTGTGATCCAACGATCACACTCACCGTATTGTTACTATTATTATTTGGTTTCTGTGGCGGATGGATTGCACTCGTGATGTATGTTTGAGAAGGAGAGACGTGAGAGGAACGGTGACAGAAAGTAATTGATGTTGGGACGCAAAGTAGGGCGGCCGCTATAAATAACGAAGCGAGACAGCCTTCCATACGCGGCATATCCCGGGGTGGAGGAAATCTTGGGAGAAGAACAGGGGCCTCCTCTTCCTTCGCTTGTCTTCCTTTCCTTCCCTTCCCTCGCACCGCGGGCGGAGCTCGTGAGAGATGGAGATTGCTTCTATTGTTGTCAAGGAGAAAGAAAGAGAGAGAGAGAGAAAGGGGAGCCGAGAAGAGCGTGAGTTATAGAGAGAACCGTGAGGAAAGAGGGACGGAGGTGGGAACAACGAGAACGTCCCATAGTAACACTAACGTCAGGGAGGCGAAAGGCAGGGGGGGGGGGGGGGGCGTTCAAAATGCCGGTGCCCATCATGTGCGGCCACCAGACGGAGAGGGATCTCTCGAGGGACGGCAGCCATTACAGCCTGTCCAGCGGAATCCTTCCCTCCCTCGGCGCCCGGAGCAATCGCAGGGTCAAGCTTCGCTCCTCCATCGTCTCCCCTTACGATCGAAGATACAGGTGCCGCACTCCCTCCTTTTTGGTTCAGTAGGCCGTACTTCCGGAAATCATTCTTCCTTTTTCTTGCCTTCTCGTAACACGAGTGAGAAAGAACAGAGAGATGCTCGCTTTGTATGTGATTGACGAAACATCAACGGCGTTAGAATCTTCTTTCATGCAGAACCTGGGAGACATTCTTGATCGTACTGGTCATCTACTCGGCTTGGGTGTCTCCGTTCGAGTTCGGATTCCTCGACAACTCAAAGGGATCTCTGGCCCTGGCGGATAACATCGTCAACGCGTTCTTCGCCGTCGACATCGTTCTGACCTTCTTCGTGGCCTACCTCAATAGAACGACTTACCTGCTCGTCGACGATCATAAGAAAATAGCAGTGCGGTACTTGACCACCTGGTTTATCCTCGATGTCGCCTCCACGATCCCTTCGGAGATCGCTCTCAGAATTCTGCCTTCCAGTCTCCGATCTTATGGATTCTTCAACATGCTTCGGCTTTGGCGTCTCCGAAGAGTCAGTGCACTATTCGCTCGGTATGACGGCGTGTTCCTGTTTTCGTTGTCGACTTCGCCTCTCATCAAATTACACAGCTGAGTAGCATATTGATGTATCAGGCTGGAGAAAGATAGGAGCTTCAATTACTTCTGGGTTCGGTGCGCAAAGCTCATATGCGTAAGTACTCTCTTTTACCAGAGGGACGGTGCTTTTCCACTCCATTCATGATGTGTGGGATTCCACCGACAAATTGACCTGTTAATTACCTCGTAGGTGACACTATTTGCCGTTCACTGTGCCGGCTGCTTCTATTATCTGCTCGCCGCAAGGTATCATGATCCCAGCGGAACCTGGATCGGGGCTTCCATGGCCGACTTCCTCGAGCGAAGCTTGTGGGACCGATATGTGACTTCCATGTACTGGTCGATCACCACCCTCACGACCGTCGGCTACGGAGACCTGCACGCCGAAAACACACGGGAGATGATCTTTGCCACCATTTACATGCTCTTTAACCTCGGATTGACGGCCTACCTGATCGGAAATATGACTAATTTGGTTGTTCATGGCACCAGCAGAACTCGAAGATACGTAAGTTGTATGAGAAAGCATGTCGAATCTGCAGTTTGATGTTTGATCATTCTGTATCGTTAAGGATGCCTGTTGGGGTCATTGCAGAGGGACACGATTCAAGCGGCAACGGGGTTTGCACAAAGAAACCAGATCCCAGAACGGCTGCAAGAACAAATGATCTCCCATCTCAGTTTGAAGTTTCGGACCGACTCAGAAGGGCTTCAACAGCAAGAGATTCTGGATTCTCTTCCCAAAGCCATCCGATCCAGCATTTCTCACTATCTGTTTTACTCCCTCGTTCAACAGGTGTACTTGTTCCGAGGAGTTTCTCATGATCTGCTGTTTCAGCTGGTGATGCATCCATCAAGTGATCCCATTCTACTACTGCTACCACTACGTATCTTTTGCTCTCACCTTATCATCTTCTCTCCGAAATTACTTGAAGGTCTCTGAGATGAAAGGCGAATACTTTCCCCCAAGGGAGGATGTGATCTTGCAGAACGAAGCACCTACAGACTTTTACATACTAGTGACCGGCAGCGCGGTAGATGGAATCAAATCTCTCTTCTGCATGTATATATATATATATATATTTCATACATCTATCAGTCGCCTAAACGCTGACTCATCGGGTTTGCAGGAGCTAATCGATCACAGGAGCGGAAGTGAAGAGGCAAGTTGCTTGCTCAACGATTGTGGATAGGCTCGTCGGGTGTTTCATGAAACGCAGCATTGACTTCCTTCTCCTTTTGCAGATTGTTCGGGTGGCGAAGAAAGGCGATCTCGTGGGAGAGATCGGAATTCTCTGTTACAGGCCGCAACTGTTCACGGTGCGAACAAGATCGCTGTGCCAGCTGCTGCGTCTGAACCGTACCGTATTCCTCAACCTCGTTCAGTCAAATGTCGGCGATGGAACCATCATCATCAATAACCTGCTTCAGGTGTATATATAATAATAATAATAATAATAGCACAATCAACTTATTCCAGTTACTTGGTGGATTTGTGTTGTGAGACTGAGTGACTTTTTGCGAGCGATTCTGATCCAGCTTTCTATGATGCAGTATCTGAAGGAGCAAATGGATGATCCTTTGATGGAAGGACTCCTGAGAGACATAGAGACCATGTTGACCCGGGGCCGATTGGAGTTGCCTCTTACTCTGTCTTTCGCCGTTGTCAGGGGAGACGACCTGTTGTTGCATCAGCTTCTGAGACGCGGTTTGGATCCGAGTGAGTCAGACAACAATGGACACACAGCACTGGTCTGACCTTTTCTTTCTGACACCCGTGTCATCTATCTTCGTGAGTAACCGAAGAAACGGAGTTTGACTTTGGTTTCTTTCTCTTTGGTGGCATTTAGCATATAGCAGCATCCAAGGGCAATGAGCACTGTGTTCGTCTCTTGCTAGATTTTGGGGCAGATCCCAACAGTCTAGGTATGCTCCAAATTTGTTCTTAGATCCACAGTTATTATTAGACCCATAAATTCTTGTGGTATAGTTTTAGGCCATATGCTTCTTCACCATTCTTGCTCATATGCGAAGCATACTCTGATGTGACACACAGATTCGGAGGGAAGCGTTCCATTATGGGAAGCTATATTGGGGAAGCACGAGCAGGTGGTGAAGCTGCTGATAGACAACGGTGCACACCTCTCCGCCGGCGACATGGGCCACTTCGCCTGCACGGCCGCCGCACAGAACAACATAGAGCTGCTGGAGGACATCATCCGGCACGGGGGCGACGTCACGGCGGAGAAGAAGGACGGGAGCACCGCGCTCCATCGAGCCGTCTGCGAAGGGAACCCCCGACTGGCGGAGTTCCTGATCCAACATGGTGCCGACATGGACAAGCCCGACCACCACGGCTGGACTCCCAGGAGCCTGGCGGATCAGCAAGGGCACGACGAGATCAAAGCTCTCTTCGATGTTGTGAAAGCCGAGGAACCCAACTCCGGCTCACCTCTCCCCGCGCCGGTGCGGAGATTCAGCAGCGAGCCCATCATGCCGCCGGCGGTAGGCGACGATATTAGACCGTCGTCGTCGTCGCCGTTCGGGGCGCTGGAGAAGAGCGAGCGGGCACGGCGGGAAAACTTCCACAACTCGCTGTTTGGGATCATATCGGCTGCCAGCTTCAGCAACAGGCAGAGCCACAGCGGCCTGCTGTCATCTGTTGCTGGTCCGCCGAGGCATATGTTCGGCGGCGGCGGCGGTCAACAACAACAGCGCACGAATCTCCAGCGGGTGACGATCAGCTGCCCCGAGAGAGGCGACACCACCGCCAAGCTTGTGCTGCTGCCGGATTCGCTGCATGAGCTGCTCGACATCGGGTCGAAGAAGTTTGGCTTCTTAGCGAGCAAAGCGTTCACCAAGGACGGGGCGGAGATCGACGACGTGAAGCTGATAAGAGACGGAGATCATATCGTCGTCGCCGGGGATGATAGCGACGGAATCAGCGCCCATGGTTCAGAGAGATTGTCTCAGTCGACGTAAACAAGAAGACGAAGGCTGGAGATTTATGGGATCTCACTTCTTTCGCTTGGGTAGGAAAGCGAGAGAAATCGAACGCCAAGGCCAAATCATTAGTCATATGAATTTGCATATTTGTCCCTCCTTATAAATTCTTGTAAATTTATCCATTAGCCATATTAGTTTAACGGGAATCAATCAAATCTAGAGATCGTAATTTAACTTTTGAATAGAGTTTCAATTAAGTTGATAATATCTATATCATATGAGATATAAAAATTGAAGAAGTCCGATCTTAAGGTTGTTAATATTTGGGGTTATCATGCCCATGTTAAAATACACAAGTTATCATGCCCATGTTAAAATACACAAGTTAGAATCGAGGATGGATATTATTATGTCAACTCTGATAAGTTAGAATCGAGGATGGATATTATTTCTGTTATGCTGAGGACTAAAAATTCTTTGTAGCTAAAAAACAGATTGTTTGACTGATGCCAAAATCAAGATATAGATTGATTGACACTAAAATCAACCTAGCCCTAATCAAGATAGATCGACGCCAAAATCAAATCAATTTGTTCCTTTCACTCTTGCTTTTACATAAACCTTTTATTTTATATTCTTTCTTGCAATTCTCAATCCAACGCCCTTCGAACCTTTTCGTTGAAAGGACTCTTTTAGCATTGATGTGAAAGAGAAGGAAAAAATGTTGGGCTGATATTTTCTTGCTTTAATTACCAATAGTCCATTTTAATATTAATATTTTCTTATTTCATCTAAAATTTTAGCCCTTTTAACGAAAGGGTCAGGGAAAAAAAAATAAGAGACTTTAAGATTTATACATTCATTATTTTTATAGTGGATTTTATCTGGCTTGTCTTATAGTTTTTTTCCTTCACGTTATAAAGGTTTTTCATATAAATCTTGGTGTTCTATTATAATTTTTATTTAATTTCATTGTGTATTATGATCTGCTTATATTTATTAATATATAAAATTCGTTCCTCTTTATATGAGAGCAAGGTTTTTTTGATTTAATTTTTATATTAGAACATTGAGGCTAGTAGTGTTTCTCGCATGATTAGCTTAAATGGAAATAATTGGATAATATGAAAACTAAGAATTGAAGATCTCTTGTATTACAAAGATTTGTATAGACCGTTGCAAGAAGATAGTGCAAAATCCACAACTATGACAAATGATGAGTGGAAGAGGTTTCGCCATGTTTTTACTAAAAGTTCTGTATACTCTATTTGGAAAAAGTTGGAAAGTCTCTATAAAAGAAAAACAGATGGCAACAAAGCTTTCTCCATCAGAAAACTTGTGAATCTAAAATATAAAGAGGGTGCTTATATTGTTGAGTATTTAAATAAAATATAAAGTATTACTAACCAGTTATCCTCTATGAAAATATCTCTTGATTGTGAGTTGCATGCATTGTTACTTCTCAATTCATTACCAGAAAGTTAGAAGATACCAGTGGTTTCTCTCGATAATTTTGTACCAGATGATGTTGTCATTCTGAGTCAAGTAACAAGTAGTTTGTTGAGTTAGGAGTTGATAAGAAAGAATTCAATAATGATACAAAAAGTTTGATTCATTTATGATTGAAAATGGATACAAAAGAACGACTTCAGATCATTGTGTGTGTACAAAATGGTTTGGTGAAAATTTTATTATTCTCTTACTTTATGTTGAGGATATATTTATCCTTGAGAAAGATATATTAAAAAATGACAGGTTGAATAAAGAACTAAGTGAATCATTTACAATGAAAAACATGAGGCCAGTAAAGCAAATACTGGGCATGTGGATTTTTTGTGATAGAAAAATTAAGAAGATTTCATTGTCACAAGAGAAATATATCAATAAGGTATTTAAAATGTTCAGTATGAGAAATATAAAGCCAGTTGGTTCTCCTCTTATAGGTCACTTCAAGTTGTGCTTAGAATAAAATCCATCAAGTGATAAGAGAAAGAGAAAATACAAAAGGTTCTATATGCTTCAATAGTTAGAAGTTTAATGTATGCAATGATATTTACAAGGTCGGACATAATATATACAGTAGGTGTAATTAGTAGATTTCTTGCAAATCTTAGCAAAAAGCACCAAACAACAATGAAGTAAATATTTAGATATCTCAAAGGGAGCTCTAAAGTTTGTTCGAGCTTTAGAGGTAGACCACTTGTGTTGATAGGTTACACAAATGCAAATATAGCAAGAGATATAGATACAAAGAAATCTACATCATGTTTTATACTTACCTTTGTAGGAGGAGTTATATCATAGCAATTCATATCACAAAAGTGTATTGCTCTCTCCACCATAGAGGTAGAATATATTACTGCTATAGAGGTTTACAAATAAATATTATGTATGAAAAAATTCTTATAAGAGTTTGGGTTAAAATAGAAAAACTATGTAGTGAATTGTGACAGCCAGAGCACTATCCATTTGTGTAAGAATCCAACTTTTCATTCCAAGTCAAAGCATATAGATGTTAGATATCACTAGATTCAAAATGTACTTGAAGAGAAACAATTACAACTTCAAAAAATTCATGCATATAATAATAGAGCAGACATGTTGACAATGACCTTGTAAAAAAAAAGGCAGGAGATATGCTGACAGTTGATCGACATGGTTTCACGTTAAGAAGTAATGGAACAGCCTCCTTTATGGGCTAAATGGGGAGGTTGTCTGGTTGATAGTTCATGAGTTCAACCCATAGTGACATTTAATTACCCATAGCCCACTTTATCGTTAACCCTTTCTCATTTAACCTAAAATCCTAACCCTTTTTAACTAAGAGTTGTGGTGGCCAAGGAAAGAAAAAAGGGGGGCAGCGGTGGTTGTGAGAAAAAAGCAGCAGGAAAGGGCAGAAAAACAAGATAAGGAAATGAAAGAGACAAATATAACATAGAGAAACTATTCTCAATTATTCAAACAGTATCATCATCTCAGGTTAATCAGATCTATAATAGATTTTTACTGTGATTACTTGAGTTATTTTTGATATTATACATAGTGATGCAATCCTTGTATCCTAATTATTTTCTTGTGATTGTTGTTTGGGTTTTGAGAAAGAAACTTTAAGATTTATATATTTATTATTTTTATAATAATTTTTTTTAATTTATCTTGTAGTTTTTTTCCTTCACGTTAAAAGAATTTTTCACGTAAATCTTCATGTTTTATTTGATTTTAATTTCTATTTAATTCCACTCCATGTTACCATCTATTTCTATTTATTCATATACAAAGTTCGTTCCTTTTATATCATCTAAACAAAAAAAGCAACGTGACATAAATAATCAAAAAATTTAACATTTATTAGATTAGAGGGATTAATATGTACACACAAATATTAGACAAATACTGAGTTGGCGGTAATGACAAGAGGCAGCCACCGCTGCCACCGAGGCATTTGTGTTGCATGACGTTACGTTACAAACAGGATACTGCATGCTCCTCCATGATTGCCGCCTCCCTCAAACTTTCTGATTTGATCGGACGGTAGAGATGCTGTGGAGCTGATCCATAATGGTCCTTGAGACCTGGAACGAGCGGAAGTGTTGGCCCAGTGCCGGTGGGTTAGGCTCCTCTACGCGGTGCCTCAACTCACAGCCTACAGGGGTCGAGCCGAGCGATCCGTGGCCGTGATGGGCCATTGATTACCCATGAAACGCGTGATCGATCCTCGAGATAATTAAATCTGGACGTGACTCTCTAATCAGCGAGAGAGACAAAATTAAAGAAAGAAAAATACAAACGTTGCTAAATAAACTTTAGATAATGCACAAATTCGTTTGCTCTGCCACGTTGCTGATGACAGTTCTTCAAGGCCCGTCGGCCGTCGGTATGGCAGCCCCTCCAACGTCGCCGCCCTTGGCTGGACCTGCCGGGGAACTCCGGAGACCCTCGTCGCCCTCCGTCCGATTGACGATCTCCTCCATCATGCGAATGACCTCAGGGAAGTCGGGCCGGGCGTCCGGCACGGTGGCGACGCAGGCCATCGCGACCTGCAGGATCTGCACCATCTCCTCCTCCTCCGTGTTGGGATACCGCATGAGGTCCACGTCGAACACCTCCTCCGTCCACTCCTCCCTCACCACCGAATGCACCCATCGCGGCAGGTCGATCCCCTCCTCGCCCAGCGACGCCTGGTTGGGCGCCTTCCCGGTCAGGAGCTCCAATAGGAGCACACCGAAGCTGTAAACGTCGGACTTGAAGGTGGGCCGCCGCGTCTCGAGCACCTCCGGGGCACGGTAGCCGGCGAGGCGGTGGCGGGGAGCGGCGGGGTTGAAGAGTGGGTGAAGGGCGAAGTCGGAGAGGGCAGCGGAGTCGAGGTCGTTGGCGCGGAGGAGGACGTTGGATGCCTTGACGTTGCCGTGGACGGTGCGCGCGGCCGTGTGGAGATGAGCGAGGCCGCGGCCGGCCGCGAGGGCGACTCGCATCCGGCTCTCCCAGTCCAGCGGCGTCCGACCCCCTCCTCGGTTCCCTGTTATCCACAATAATGAATGCAAAAGTTATTTAACTATATCTATAATAGAAATAATCACAAATTCAATATATGTTATGCTAGAGATAGGTATGTTAAAAAAATACCATAGCTAATATACAACTAATTAAGTAATATACAAATCATTTCCTGCTGCTTGACTTGTTCCTGTTGACCAATGCTGGCCAAAAGAGCCCAAATCATTGACTTCTGTCCTATGTAGACCCACTGCAAACTCACCAACAGCTGTAGACCACTTGTTGTGGACCCCTGTCGATGTATCGCCAATGGAAGATGACTGAAACGTTGGTGCCCTGATTTCATTCATTAGCCATCCACTGGGTATCGCTTAAAGCTAGTGAGCCATAACGCGCGTCACAGTGCACTCGTTAACTAACTTTGGGGTCAGAGATATGAAAAGAAATAACAGATCAAGCATCGATTCAAGTATCTAAAGTCATAAAACTCACGCTATTAGGCAGCACATTAGCTACAGAATTCATGGAACGTTTCTTGTGTCAATCATGTTCTTCTTCTCATCAGTCGGACCACCGGAGGATTGTAACTTGCCACCGACCGTGAAGGCGCGAGGATTCTCGGGCACAGTGAATAGTGAACGAGGGTCGTCACATCCACATCAACACAGTCGTGTCACTGCGCAGAGGACAGCGCGGAGACTCCTCGCTCGATTCACCTCCCTCTTCCCTTCGCGGCCAATTGCTGTGCGGCACAGTTCAGTACGTACCTTCCGATGGAGGGAGCGAAAGCAAACGCGACACCACTGCTTTACTTGCTATTTCTACGTACTAAATGGTCCATCGTTTCTGGGTTTTCCTTTTCTAAATTTCCAAATTGATTTGCGGCAGAAAGTAGGGATTGCTCCAACAAATAATGACTCCACTAAATCTACTATGCGACAGAAAAATGAAGAGAAAATGATGAATTCAAGAGAGAGAGAGAGAGTGAGAGCAGGGCAGTGGAGAAAGAACAATTGGGATATATCTGGAGCTGTGTACTGACCGTGGAGGAGGGAGGAGAGGCTGCCGGATGGGAGGTAGTCGAGGACGAGGAGCTTCTCGTCCTTGGAATAGTAGTAGGCGCGCGGGGTTAGCAGGTTGGCGTGCTCCACGTTGCCCAGAGTCTGCATGTGGGACTCGAACTCCGGCTTGGCAGCGGCCACGTCCTTGAGGCGCTTCACCACCACGGTGGTGCCCTCCTCGAGCACCGCCTTGTACGACGTGCCCGTGCTCCCTTTCCCCAGCACCTCCGCCGACGCCCGCAGCAAGTCCTCCAGGTCGAAAATGTACCCGCCGCTGATACCCATGAACACCAGCCGGTTTCGCTCCGCCTCCACCCCGGTTCCGCCGCTCACCTCCTCCTTCGACGACGAGGTCATCCCCGTGTCCCCCAACCTCCCCACCGCCGCTGCCACAGCCGACGATTCCAACCGCTTCGCCGTCATATCCTTGGTGCGCCTCTTCGTCCTTCTCCTCCTCCGGAGCAGCACACAAATCACTAGCAGCAGTAGCATCAACAGCAGCAGCCCGGTAATGGACGCCACGGCGATCGCGATGATCGCCGCCGTCGAGAGCTTCTTGGATGCCTCCTCGACCGGGCCCTCCACAGGCATCGGGGATGCAGCTGGAGACCGGAAGAAGGGTTTGCATGGGGGCAAGGGGCCGCCGCAGAGATCCAGGTTGCCGGCGAAGGAGGAGGCTGGGAATCGCTCGAGAGACGTAGGGACAGAGCCGTTGAGCTCGTTGTAGGAGACATTGAAGTCGACGAGGGAGGCGATGCCGATGCTAGGGAGGCTGCCGGAGAGGCGGTTGTTCTCAAGGAAGAGTCCTGTGAGGCGGGTGAGGTTGTTCACGGCGAAGGGGACCGGACCGGTGAAGTTATTGGCAGAGAGGTCCAGGCGGACGAGGCGGATCAACCCGGCCAGCGTAGCCGGGATGCTACCGGATAAGAGGTTGTCCTGGAGGTAGAGGCTGCGTAGGTGGGCGAGGAGGGCGAGGTCGGCAGGGATGGTGCCGGAGAGGCGGTTGGAGCGGAGGGAGAGGACACGTAGGGCGGTGAGGCGGCCGAGAGTGCCGGCGGGGAGGGGACCCACGAGGCCAACGCCGGGAAGCCGGAGGGACACCACGGCAGCACGGCCGGAGTCGCAGGCCACGCCTGCCCAGTCGCAGGCCGAAGTATTGACGTTCCACCGAAGGCGCGGCTCGTGGGGGACCGCGGCCACGAAGGCCAGCAGCGCCTCGCGGTCCTGCGTCGGCTCGGACCGGACTGTCCGCACCGGCACCGACGCGTCGTAGGAGCCGGCGACGAGGGCCAGGACAAGAAGCGCGAGAAGCGGCATTCCAAGCTTGAGCGCGGAAGGGGGAAGAAAACGAGATCAATTTTCTAAAGAAGCGACAAAAAGTGGCAGCCTTTTGCGGTGGATTTGAGAAATGGAGGCAGTTCGGCGGTGAGGGAGCACCATGGAGATGAGCAAGAGTACCAGAGACCGAGAGAGAGAGAGAAGCATCACGAGAGAAACAGAGGGCGGAAGGAAACGGGACCGTTTGTTACTTGCTTTGGGAGAAATTAATACTAAAATGCTTCAATCGCCGGGAATTATCTCCATTTATTGTGGCCTTCGAGATGAAGAAACCCACAGGCGTCAAAGACAGGGAGCGCGGTGAAGAATCACCACGCGACGAGGAGCTCGTGTCGGCAGGCGAACGTCGAAACCGCCCGAATTCTATTGGGTGGAAGACCATGTTTCCTGTCTCGGACGAGTCATGTGAACCGCATCGCTACACTGAAATGCCGTGTGGACCACCGAATACACGATTGACGTGGATGTAACCACGTACGAACGACCGTGGACCCTCTGATGGGTGCCATCCCCGAAACGGACGGCAGAGGGCTTCGCAATCAGAAGATTGCTGGAATTGAATGGTTTAGATTAAAGCTGTGGTTAGCGTTCGAGTTGGGCCGGTCGACAGGCCCGCCCATTCTCCATGACCTTAAACCATCACAGTCACATGGAAGTTGAACGCGATCCCAGAGAAAACTATTCCAAGCGATCGATTCTGACTGCTTCAGCCATGGACGAGAATAGCATTCATGCATTAGTGTTGTTCCTCGCTGTCTTGCAACTAAACTTTGTACGACGCTGATGACCAAGGAAATGTGAGTTACTACGTCTAAATCACTGGCATTGCTTGGGCCCACTCTTGTCCATATTAGCTCATCTATCCGACAAAAAGTCGTAGGTCAAGCAGGACTCCTCCGCAGGTTACACTACCAAGACACGAAGCTGCTACTCTTCGAGTATTAATGATATCGAAAATGGTTTTATTTAGGAAATTATGGATGAATTCTCACAGAAGCAAAACAAAACCGAGGGTGCCAAGGGCAGTAAATGTCAAATATTCCCCGTGTGCTAGGAAACAAATAATATCATAGGCGAAGAGGACCACCGCTGGTACCGTGTTATGACTTGAACAGCCAACCATGGACGAAAAAGTGGGCAGATGACAGCGAGAAGGATGGAGGAATTAGGTGGTTCTTGCAGCCACGTGCAGGGAGTAGTCGTGGCTTGTGCCCATTGGTCTGGAACGGATCCAGCTGTGTTGCGTCTCAAACAACAAGGTCCAGGATCTCAGTGACGAAACTGGAGTGTCCAAGGAATGCAAGGCATATTAACCTGGAGGAACATATTCCATGGTTGAATCCAATGATGGGGTTCCTGTTGAGTGAGAGGACACAGTCAAAGATGACCATCTGGATTGGCTTCCATTCTCAGCAAGTTATGGCAACATCCATGGCGCAGCTCGGATGGTCTGTCATTTAGCTTCTCTGAGAGATGAACAACTCGTTTCGATAGCAACAAGGAGAGAATTCTACTACGGTTGCGTCAACAACAGGCAGATAGCTGTCGGTGGACCCTGCCTTCTCTCCTAACACACGGGGAAATATGATGATTAGGTTGATGCTAGCATGAAACCAGGGAAAGAGAAAACCCCTTGTCGTGCTAGAGATGAAAAGTAAGTAGCTATGTTGGGAGCACATTTGGAGGGCACGTACGAGTGATGCTAAAATAAGAAGCAGAGAGCTGAATGGTGGGAGACAGCCTGAAAAGCCACTGGTCTAACAACTCATCTCTAATGAAGCCAGAGTTCCAACTGGTGGGTGTTTGGGGTGCATGCATTGCGGAGGGAGATGTGGGGCTGTCGACGTTTGGAGTAACCATGGCGCTCCTGGGATGGCTGCCTCTGAGGCTGGTAGACCAGTTCGTTTGAGTCATGGCCCGTCTCGGAATCTGAAACACCCATAGACTATTCCTCCGAAAGCCCAAGACGGAACCCATCGAGCTCGGGAAGGGCAATGTGCTCTCTCTTTTCATATGTATACTTGGATACAGAAATGGAGAAAGTCTCCTCTCCTGGACGACCTTTTGCTTCTTAGGGTATGATGCTAAGCAAGCGATGCTGGAGATCTTCAATCCTTTCGTAGCATGAAACCATTCTTGGGAGGACACCTCCAAGTTCCAGTGGTCAAACCTTTATTCACAACAGCTTTCTAATACAGAGACGTCAGACGTGGTGCGAGCTTCTGCATCCGTTATTTGTAGCTGCGTGCGGAAGAACAAGGCAGGCTGAGTCACAGAAAATATATGGCATCATAGAAAATAATAGATATTAACGCATAGGGGCGAAGCATATTGTGCAGCTGAATCAATGGAACAGGTCGATGACACCACCTTCTGGTTGTCAGCATGGCCTGAGAACATGTACGTGCATCTTTTAACTTGAAAGAGTAAAAAAAAAAAAATATCTTGATAAACTAGAGTGTGATACAAAAATTGATGAGAAGTTTATTGATTAGTTTCTTATTTATTTAAGTTAGAAGGGAGGATTTTTCTCGATAGAATAGTGAAATTTTCTCGTGTAATTGAAAAAATCTTATATGCTATCATGCCCTCGCAAGATGGTGCTCCTGTCAAAAATAGCGATCTTCGACCGATACAATGAAAATAATTTACGGACAAGAGATTTTGTAAGGGAGTTTGCTAGTTGATCAATCGTATGTAAGTGAGAAACATGATGTTGATGTCGGATAACTTGATCTCGTACGAAGTGAAAGTCGATAACAATATGTTTCATATGAGAGGAACATTGGATTGGCATAGGTAGGTAGCTCCGACATTATCACAATATATTGTAGAAGTAAGAGTGAAATTAATATTAAATTTTTTAAGTAGATTTATGATCCAATTGAGTTTTGTAGTAATAGTGGCGATGTCACGGTATTCAGCTTCAACTATAGACTGTGCGATTATCTTTTACTTTTTAGAACTTTAACTGATTAGACTAGCTCTAAGGAAGATAATATACCTTGACATTGATGTTCTATCATCAAAGTTTTTTGTCCAATCAGCATCGGCAAAGGCATGAAGATAAAATGAAGAGTTTATGGGGACAAAGGCTATGATTAAGGGTCCCTTTAAGAAATCGTACGATTCATCTGACTATAGGCCAATGCACAGTAGATGGCGATGTATGAATTATGATAATTTATTTACTGAAAATTAGATGTCTGTTCAGGTGAGACATAAGTACTATAAGGAGTCACCAACTAGTCGGTATTGAGTAAGTTCCGTAAAAGGACTTCCATCACATAATTTGAGTGACTTACTAATAGAGAAGGTAGTTGTAATCTCTTTTGTATCATATATATTTGTTTTTGATAATAAATTTTGAATGTACTTTCTTTGTGATAGAAAGAGACATAAATATGTATATATTGCTTCTACTCCCAGAAAGTAGCTCAAGGTTCCTGGATCTTTGAGAGAGAATCAATCTGCCAATTGCTTGATGAATTTATAGGATTATTACCCATGACAATAAGGTCATCTGCATACACCAGAAGATATATTGTGTTTCTATTTTATTATCGTAGAAATAATGACGTATCAGACTTAGAGTTGATAAAGCTAGTTGAAATAAAAAACGAGCCAAGTTCGGTGTAACAAGTTGTTGGAGCTTGACGAAGTCCATAAATAGTTTTGTGTAGTTTGCAAATATACGTTGGATACTGATGATGGATGAAATCAAGAGGTTGATGTATAAAGACGTTTTCATTTAGAGTCCCCTATAAAAAAGTATTGTTAACATCCAATTGTTATAATTAACAGCCTTTAGTGATGGTCAAACTCAAGATAAGTCGGATTGTTGTGGGTTTAACAACGAGACTGAATGTCTCAGTGAAGTCAACAACATATTGTTAACAAACCTTTGGCGACTAGATATGCTTTTTATCCGGCAATGGATCGATATGGGTTCTGCTTAATTTGAAAGACACACTTACACCTGATGATGTTTTGTCTCTGAAGAAAGGGTACAAGAGTCCATGTTGAGTAATGAAGAAGGGTATCATATTCTTCACACATGGCTTTATGCCAATGTGGAGACTTTTGGGCTCAAGTGATTATGGTGAGTTTAATGATCTCACGTGAGGATTCTGTGATAACATATAGGGGCCAAAGACTTGATGCAATTTGAAAATACCACTCTTGAAGCATGTTGTCATTGGATGTCCGAAGGCTATGGGATTGTGAGGTTATATTGTTGGTATAGGCGGTAGAGAGTTACTGACACGGGCCGGGTCAAGCTGAGGTACTTCAATGTTAGAAGGAGGTAAAGACATGGTTATGTTTCTGAATGTATTGCCTCGTCAATGGGGAAATTTGAAAAGAAGAGAGTAAAGAAGTAATGGAGAGAATGAGCTGTTGCTGAACTAGAGTAGCAGTAGAGTGTGGATCCTGAGAGGAAGGATTGGACGATATTATGGGAGGCTCATCTAATAGGATCGGAGGTATACTCTAGTAATAAATGTTTGTTGGAGTGGTTTGCACAGTAGGAGACTCATACTTTTGAAAAAAAAAAAAAAAAAAAAAAGGTAGTCTCCATTAAAATAATGTGACATGATATAAAGACTTTTTGGGTTTGGGAGTCATAGTATCGAAAAATATTATGTTCAAAAGTGTATCTTAGATCTTTATATTATCTTATGGGAAGTATAGGGATGTAACCATGGATAACATAGACATCCATACTTTGAGTTTTTAAATGTTTATAGATTTATGAAATATTGTTTCAAATGAGGACTAATATTGTAGGATTAAAGTAAGTATACGATTAATAAGGTATACTACAGTTTGAAAAGCTGCTAGCCAAAAGGTTAGAGGCATGGAGGCCTGATGTAGAAGTGCGAGACCTGTTTCAACTATATGTCGATGTTTGCATTCGACGGAGACAATTAATTGAGGAGTATGTGGGGTGACTTGAGGTATTGTATACTACAAACTGAGAGACAGGATGTTACAGCTTGATATTCGTCCCCACCATTAGAGTAAACTATTTTAATTGTAAACTGAAAGTAGTTCTCGACAAACTTTCTAAAGTTAGTAAAGATTATGGGAACTTTAAATTTATGGTGAAGAGAATATAACTATATTTATTTAGTAAAATAAAATCTAACTTGTCAAAAGAAATGACCAGGGCAAGGCCCCAAACATCAGTATAAATAATCTCAAATGGTTTAGAGTATGATAGAAGAT